TTATTCATATTGTATATGTATATATATTGAATTGAATCTAGCGTAATCTCTATACCGTAGGTAGCAAAATCGATTTCTAGTGAATACTCGTTATACGTCGAGTTCAAATAACTGACCCTAAATGTGCAAAATGCAAATTTACACTTCAATAGATTATTAGATGCATTAAACGGTTGCAGATTAGGTACATTGAATAACAGCAATTGATTCGATATATATATATATATATATATATATAGAGTGTAATTTAATTTACATAGGAGAAACAAGCCAGAACTTAATTAAACGTTTACAACAACATAAAAACAATTCAAAAAGTTCGAGACAATTTAAAACTATGCTTGCGGACCATATTTATACTTTAAAACACAATATGGACTTTTCTAACCGACTATATATATATATATATATATATATATATACATACATATATATATATATATATATTATACATAAATAGGGTATCCCAGAACTCAACATCAAGCCAGAATATATGATAGTAATGATCATAAACTGTCTTGAAAAATTTATGGAAAAAATATCTCACGTAGTTTGAAAATTATGAGCTTTCAAGTGGCTCAACCTAGAACTTTGAAAAAAATGGTGACTTTTATTTGATTATTGTCGTTAACTTGTATTAATTTTGTTTATCTAAGCTTTGGATTCGTAATGGTAAAAAATATTTCTAAGACCACAGACAAAAATAATGACACAATTGACCCAAGTCTTCAATAATTAATGCTTTTTGTAGGCCTAAGAATTAAAATTTTCTTTAAAAAAATACATACTAAAATATGTTGGCAAGTTTTTTGAAAAGTTGACGCATTTTGTTTATCCTAATATTTTACATAATATATTTACATGTGGGTATATATGAGAAAAAAATATGCAGGATATAAATACTGGCTTAGGGATAACATATTATGTCTAGTTGACCTTCTACATTTTGTGAGAAGTAGTAGACAAATGATCTTCTCTGTGACAATATTATTTTGTGAGATTTCGGAGTATTATACAATACCTCACAATTTTAAAAAAATCTAACAATATTTTATTTTGGAAATAGTAACCATTTAATTTATCAAACAATTTTTATTATAAATTATTCAATAATGATAAAATTGAATATTAAAATGATTTATTATCTTATTCTACTTATTATAATCATTATGTATTAACTTTTTTTTCAATAATTTGAAATAGTTTTCTGGATAAATCCAAGCAGAATCTTTAGTATCAGATCGCAAATGTGGAAACCCATATATTATCCAGAGACCTTTTCTGTCGTTTTTTCCTCCTGTGACATCACATGATAAATTTAACTAATAAACCAGACTTTGTTCAATATCAGAAATTTATTACGTCTTTTTCATTACTTTAACGTCAGATTATAAAGAGTAATAGCTACTATTTGTATCTAGGAAACTCATAAAGATTCAGAGTTTGAGATTACTTCAGAGTGATTTTCAATATATCTTTGGCCATCAATCTAATTTTTTTTGCGATTTTTTTATAATTTTCTTAATATCTATCCATTGATAAAGGTTCAAGCTATTCCTCAATGAAATAATATTTATCGTATCTATTTTTAGGAAACTTGTATTGATATATTTACACATGTTTCTGTTCCTTCATGATTCGATATTGTAGGTATCTCGAAACCTTTGATTAAATATTGACATGGTCTATATGTGAGTACATGAATTCATTATGAGCTTGTGTAGTATCGAAAAACATCGGTGTTTCTGTTTATTAGATAATTGGCAAAGATCTATTTTTTTACTATATCTGCCATACAAGATTCAGAGGAAACTATAAGGCCGTAATAAGGCGGACCACAAATTGATTTATTTTGTTCAGTGCTAAACTTTTATGTTATCAACCTCATGGTTATCTGTAAAAAGATTACATTAAAACATAATTCATTTGTTTAACAAATTCCATTATCATTTGCACTAAAAATAAAAGTTTTGTGCAAATGATATGACAAAAAAACTGTCCTTTATCCTTGCCTATATTTCCCCAAGATGTATTCCACTTTCCGCCCATTATTCGGAGATCGAGGCATTCTCCAAACACAATAGTCGCTATTTAAAAAGTTTCCTTTCACGAATCTATATCTGTGTAAATAAAAACTTTTTCTATATTCCTTCTTCCCGATTTTTTCCCTTTATCGAATTCACCATTAAAACTCTGTATCATTTCAAGCAGACACGTTATTAGTTTATCTGAAGTCCTTGGTAATTTGGTTTTTCCTTTGAAAGGGACCTTGTTCGTATGTGCGTGAAAGAGATTCATCATTTGCCACAAAACAAACATTGAGTTCCGATGAAAAGTTTGGTGGAAAATTCTGTACGAAAATAGTTAACAAGTTGTTGCTCGGATATTGGATTTCTATAGTTGGGAGTTGACGTACCAGTAATCCTAGAATGTAAGAGGATTTAAAACAAAAATACAAATTTATTTATGTATTTAATTATTATTTATTTATAAACAAACAGTTATCAATTATTTATTTTATTCCATGCTTATTCAAAATAAAGCGCTGTTCATTAATCACGTGATTCATTTTTAACTTTCCGTAGGGCAAGTTATAGTAATCGCAAAAAAATCGAAAATTTAAATTGTTTTATATCTTTACGTTTCAAAGCCTTCTAAACATTTTGGCATACCTTAGAAAAAATGGACGTATAAGTGTGTATATGTGTGTGTGTGTGCGTGTATGTGTGTGTGCGGATACAAATTTTCGGGAACACGGATGAAGCGTTTTGAATAATTTAATTCGTATTGATAAGGAGACGTGCTGATTAGTTTTTGGCGAAGGCAGGTCTAGCCGTTCCGAAAATATGTGGCAAAAAATGCCAAAAATGGTAACTCAGAGTTTAAAAGAACGGAGCGTCCGATTCTATTAACAAGATAAAAAACTGATCAAATTTTCATGAAGGCAGGTATAGCGGTTTCGGAGATCTAGTAAAAAAAGTAAAAAAAAAGCCATTTGGCGGTCAAAAATGATCATCAGACAATGCACATCAAATTAGCAGTTTTTATAGAGATTTCAATAATAAGTGTACATTTTGTTTACATTTCTACGGGTTCCGTACCAATTTTTATCCGTTAGACAGCGACGCGGCACTTATGCGCTTCGATATTTTGTCTCTATGCAGTTAAAGCAGTACGGCTGCTTTGAAAAAAAGTTCAGAATTTCCAGAATATTTCAAAATAAATTTTTCTTCAAAAAGTCTTTTAATTTTCAAAAAAAGTAAATTTTTGTCAAAAATTTTTAGTTTCTCAAAAATCTATTTTTTTTCAGAGTAAATTTTTTTCAAAAATGTTAATCTTTCAAAAAAAAATAATTTTTGGTATGGGAAGTTCCAGCAATTTGCCTTTAGGCACGATGCCATGCGCCCCACTAGTTTAAAATCAATATTGAATTGAACAAGAATTTAGTTAACTTGGTGGAACTCATGTGCAGTTCTTAAAATAGAAATAGTTCCTAGTTGAAACTTTAATTCATCACAGATGCAAATTTAAAACATGACAATAAGTGGAAATCGGTTTAGTTATAAATATGGTAATTGGATAAAACAAAAACACTCCAATTCAGTACATCTTTACTAGACAATATCTCTCGAATAAAATACAAGTCGGATTCTATTCGTGTTCCAAATGTAATTACATTAAAATAAGTATAGGTAAGAATTGCAGAAAGGAAATCTGATCTGAAACGTTGAAATTTCCAATAATTGAATTTTATCAGCTTCTCAGTTTCTTTTACACTTTTCTCTTTATGTATTATAAATATATTACATGTTCGTATTGATACAAAATAAACCTGAATTGATTAAATATACACACACATGTGTGTATATTTATATTTTAGGCAAAATGCTAATGACAGTAATTACTTTAGATTTATAGTCAAACAAATGTTTCACTAATCTATGATTTATGTTATGTCATTATCAATATGTAACATAAATTTATTTGTTCCCGATAAAACAAAAACGAATGAAATCATATTTGGTCGCTATCGAATTAATTGCTTTTTATCTTTGTAATATATTAAGGCTATAAATTAAAATATAGTAGAAATATTTGCACCATTTATATGAATCCATTCAAAATATCTTCCAAAAATTCTTTTAAAAATTATTACAAAATATTTTTTGGTTAGAGCACAGTATTATACGGTCTATAATTGCAGATTTTTTGTTGTATTTCTAACGTGTTGTAAATGAAATTTTTGACAAAAACGAATAAGATCATATCATATTATCGTTTTAAACTGTATCGTAATTAACACGTTAATTGCCATTATAATTGTTCGGACGTATTTTCGTTTTAGTATATTGGCCATGAAGGTGACAACCTTCAGGGCATTATGTTTTACACGGAAGGGTTGCTACCCCTGGTAGAGGGGTTGGCTGAGTGTTTTAATTGAACTAGTTGTTCACTTCTAAAAGTAAAGTCCGCGAAACAACATGTCTAATAAATAACCAATAAATGTATCTTTTTTCATTATAACTTAGCAACAAATCAGTGATTGTAATTAGAACTGCAACAAATACATAATATACAAACAAATCAGTGTTTAATACAGTCCACAGCTGCAAGGGTTAAATTATAACCAAAAAACCTGAGTTATCGAAGGAAAGTTTTAATAAATTTCATAATTACGTGGCGGTATACAATAATATTAGAAAAATTTTCATGTAAGCCATGGTAATTTTATTAGATAATTTAGTTAAAATTGTAACAAGAAAACGTAATGTATCAAAGAAGTTTTTTTGTCAATGTTCCTGAAAAGGCACTATTTTTTATATCAATATATGCCATGGCTTTATATCAATATAAGCCAACTTTTTTCTCGCCTTACCAAATCGCTTCTGTGACCTATATGTTTATTGTATTCAATATTTTTCATCCCTCTAAAAATATTTTCTTACCCATATTTATTATTGTAAAAACGATAAAAATATCTACTATTTTTTACATTTCAGATGGTGAAAATGATGTTGACTGTGGTCGTCGTATTTACCGTATGCTGGATGCCGTTTAATATTTTAATGGTGAATATTACTGAACCCAAAACAAATTTCCCTTCCTATAACCTTTTTCTAAAATGGTCTTAAGGAGTGGAAGTTATGATTTTTTCTCTTTATTATTTGAACAGGTAAAACTGTTTTTGCTTTGATCTCTCCTTTGTAAAGTTGTTTGTCGTTTATCCAAGTCGGGGAGGATTCGGCAAGCCTTTCTTTTTATGACCCAAGAATCGTATATAATGACCGGTCAATAAATCGCTTGGTATCGATTTATTTGCTCTTAAATGAAACATGATTGCTTTTATGTTCAATTTTGATTCCTTGGTGCTATTTTCGGTGTTTTTTATTAGATAAATATTAATAGAAATATTAATTGGTTAAAAGTAAAATTATTGTTTAAAATTTCATTTCATGGTTCAAAGGTTCATTATAAAAATTTTGTCCGAAGCTTATCACGACACATTTACACTCACTTTTCTATTATATTTTTTTTTCTAATATTTTTTTGTTATTCTATTGCATTTGTATTTTACATTTAATAATCTGTTCAACAATAACATGTATCTGAACATTTTTGTTCAGCAGATATTATAAATAAATTATTTATATCTGTGATCGTTTGCCGTGAATTGCATTGAAAACGGAAATTATTAATTGGAATGCAAAATTAGATTTTTCAATTCCTTGTTTTATATCGATGCATTTTTTAATTATATTTTTCAATTCTTCGTTACAACTAATGTAATATTAACCTTTTCAATATTTTTCTCAAAGCGACTTATAAAATAACGTAATATAATATTAAATCTCATGTTTGTCAATATTTTTTCAAAAATGAGAGGAAAAAATAATGAAATTTAATATTTAAATAATTTATTATTAATTAATAGATAATAGCATTAATAGTTTACCAAGAACATTTATTGATTATATTTGTAGTAACATAGCTTACTTGTTACATATTTAGGAGCAGTTAGAAGTAATTTCATAAAATTGATTCTTATAGATATTTATAATTCAAAATTTACACAATGTTTTTTTATAAATTATTAATAGAAAATATAATTAACATTTTTATTAAATATTTAGTTACATCTTAGGTAAATTATATATTTTTGCCATCTAGATGTTTAATCTCAAGTATCTGGAAAGTTTATTTTAAAATAGTTCAAGAATATAATACCATTTGCCTAAAGTTCGTGAATGTGGGGTCAATAGTGATATTGTTGGGTGAATATTATAATATTCAGCCCAGCTTCAGCAACGATCTAACCACGATTTGTTTCTACTGGGTTTGATATTAAATAATCAATATAATAATAATCAATAGTAGTCTGTCTGAAGTCAGGTCCATGGTAAAAGAGGACCAAAATTTAATGATTCCTTTTCCTTTCCTTGTTTGTTATTAACTTTACCATTTTATAATCATTAGTTACTTTTTTGTTCACTTATATGTATTCCTTTTTCAAACTGTTGCTTCCATGCTTCTTGATCCTGTGTTTCGGCTTCCAGTTTCCTGTACTTTTCCTTGTTCCGTAAGTCGTCAATCATCTGCATTCTTCTTCCTTCCATTTCTCCATTGTGCTTTCCATTTCTTGTATTCCTTCCATTTTACCTTCGACGAAGTCATGTAGGATGCACTTTTTCTACAGAATAGGCCTGATTCAGTTTTCTTTTCTTTTCATAATCATGCTCAATAGTCTTTATTTCTTTCACTCCTCCAGCAATTTTTAATTTATTACCTCATTTCGATATATCATTAATTTTATTATCACTTAATATAATTTTAACACATGAATTTCGATTATTTTTTTTTGGCATCAAGGATCCTTTGGAGTACACATAAATCATTTGGGTAATCACCCATCTAGATGATATGAACTAATATTATTTGCTCCATACAAATTTTTAGGCACAAATATGTAAGGTCTCATATTAAAATATAACATAATTGATTTTTCCTCTAGGTGATATGGACAAACGACGAATCCCTCGGAGGTTGGCCTCCCCTGCCGTACGTGTGGTTTTCCTTCCATTGGCTAGCGATGTCGCATTCGTGCTACAACCCAATAATCTATTGTTACATGAACGCACGTTTCCGCGACGGATTCGCAATCCTGCTGAGTCCAGTGCCGTGCATCGGCAAGCTGTTCAGGGGGCGCAGGCGGACGGGCACCGAAAACGGGGGCACCATTGGCGGAGGCACGTCCGCCAGCATGGGGGACCATAGATATGGACATCCGATGTTTGGTGAGTCTTTTTCATATTGGTTCGAGGGTAACATCTGGGTGCATTATTGTTTTTAGATTGTTTAGCAACGTGGGATTTATTGGTCTGTATAATAAAATGTAGAGACATCCTTTCGGAGTTGGTATTAACTTACCAAAAGAGGAGTCTGTTTTAGTAAGGTGACCATACTCCCGGATTGGCCGGGACGGTACCGGTTTTCCACATTGTGTCCCGGATTATTTTAAAGCAGATTTATACCGCATTTATATCTTTTGTCTCGGATTATCCCCGGTTTTTCAAAAATTAACAGATACATTAACAAAAATTATTAAAACAAACGAACAAATGCTAATTTTTGCAAAATATTTATGAATAGAATTGAATATAATATTACACAAGGCTCAAAAGCACGAAAAACATATTGATCCTTATAAGATATAATATCATAGATGAAAAAGTATGACATGTAATCGATTAATAAAGTTCTCACTAAAAATCCGCAATTTTTATAAAAAAAAGATTTATATAAGAAAACTGCTATTATATATCCCCCGTCCCGGATTGGCATAACTAAAAATTGCCGTCCTAGTTTTAACTTAGATAAATATGGTCACCTTAGTTTTAGGTTGTTTAGCAACATGGCATTTATTTGCCTATATAACAGAATGTAGATGCTTCCAATAAGAGGTATTACAAACTTCCCAAAAGTGAAGTTTGTTTTCACCAGAAAATCCGTTTTGCTGATTTTAAGTTTTCTCGCAGTTTAAGGTCATTCTGAATCGTTCAAGACTGAAATTGAAAAATTCATAACTGCAAGCCAAAATCTGACCTTTCGTCAGCGTTTTCAAAAACAGCTTTACCAGTTTCCAAATTTCTTCCAAAAATTCAAAGGTCAATTCATGAAAATTGTAAAGAACTCGAGTTGATTAATTTTTGGCAAAAGATCCCTAAAGATCATACTTGGTAAAAGATCCAATTTGGTAAAGATAGTTTAGACCAAATTATTGAATAATTTTTTTGGTGATTTTAATAACACCTCGTTTGATAATAGTGTTCATGGTTTAAAACAGCAGTCGGAGAACTTTTTTAATCATTACCCCTTTTTTTGTTCAATTTGATATTACCTCCATGGCGAAAAAAAGTTACCACATATACTACGTAGCAAATACAGTGAATATCAATTAAAAATACATATTTTTTATCCGAAAACAATTCATTTTCACCCCATTTGGGGTAATTTAACCCGGTTCCTCGATCACTGGTCTAATATATATTACTGTATTCATATAAGTGAATTGCAATAACTTTCTTTTTAGCATTTTCCAATTCAAAAATATGCAAAGCTATGAATAAGGTTCAGTATTCGTTCTTACAATTAAAGTTTTATAATTGATCTAGTAATTTTTAATATATATTAAATTTATGCGAAGCATCTAAATCAATTTTAATGCATAAATCATTCTGCATCTTCCATAAGTTTTTAGAAAACTTTTCACTAACTAAATTAAAACTTACTATGATGATCAAGATGCGCGCTCTGATTTTGAATATTTATGAATTTCGTCTGCTTAATAAAGAAAACGGATTTTTCAAATTTGTTGCGTCAATTTCTTGGAAGTTTGGAAATTTATTAATTAATAAAATCAATAGTTTCTAATTATAATTTTAAAACGTGCCTTTAGACTTTCTAACGAAGGCTATTATTGATCAAACTGTATTTACGAAACTTTAATTGGATTCTTTGACATTCTTATAAGTTTAATTGCAATTGCATTTCTAGTGATGATTAAAAGTAAATCTATCGCGCTGTAGCAATTGAATTTTATTTTCCAACATTTTTTCGAACAGTAATTGCAACAAAAATAAGACAAAATGATAATATCATATAATTTTCCAAAAATAAACACTATAAAAGCATTTCACATTTTAGATATTTCTCAGTAATTTTAAATAATATATTTCTAACCACAATATTTAAAACTTTTACTAAAACTCTTTTCTAATTATGCTTGCACATTTATAATCGATTAAGAATTTGAAATACGCTTTATTTTTAGACTTACATAGTAGGCGATATAATTACGAATAATAAAACTTTGTAAATTACTCCTTATCGCATTTATATAGTATAATTTCATAAACGTGCTCATTAACATGAAAAGCTTAACTTTATTTCTTGATTTAATTGCAGACTTATGTAACTTTCTAGAAATGAAGTAATATAAAACTTAATCAATTAAAACAAATCTGTACTTTGTTTCAAAAAGAAATAAAATATAAATATAACTGTATAATTAATTGAAGCCATGAATTGTGATATGAGGTACATTATGCTTTAATTTTAGCAGAAAAATTGAACTTTGAAATTTCATTTAAAAAAAAATCTGTTTAGTATAAATAATAATGAAAACTTCTTTTTTTAACTTCCCGTAGGGCAAGTTATAATATTCGCAAAAAAATCGAAAATAATTTTTTTTATATATCTTTACATTTTAAAACCTTCTGAACATTTTGGCATATCTTAGAAAAAATGTATGTGTGTGTATGTATGTGTGTGTGCGTGTGTGTATGTGTGTGTGTTCGGATACAAATTTTCGTCGACTATTTCGAGAACACGGATGAAGCAATTTGAATAATTCAAAAAACATTCGATTCGTATTGATAAGAATACGTGCTGATTAGTTTTTGGCAAAGGTAGGTCTAGCCGTTCCGAAGATATGGGGCAAAAAGTGCCAAAAATGGTAACTCCGTTTTTAAGAGAACGGAGCGTTCGATTTGAATAATTCAGAAAACATTTTATTTCTATTGACTAAATGAAGAACTGTTTGAACTTTTGGAAAGGAAGGTGTAATGACTTCGGAGATATGGAGAAAAAATAAAAAAATGAGCCATTTGGCGGTCAAAAATGAGCATTAGACATATGCACATCACATTATCAGATATTTTATAGAGATTTTAACAATGAGTATAAATTTTGTATACATTCCTATGGGTTCCGTACCAATGTTTATCCGTTAGACGGCGACGCGGCACGTACGCGCTTGGATATTTCGTTTCTATGCAGTTAAAGCAGTACGATTGCTTTGAAAAAAAGTTCAGAATTTCCAAAATATTTCAAAATAAATTTTTCTTCAAAAAGTCTTTCTTTTTCAGAAAAAAAGTAAATTTTTGTCAAAAATTTATAGTTTCTCAAAAATCTAGTTTTTTCTAAGTAAATTTGTTTTAAAAATGCCATGCGCCCCATGCACTAGTATTCAACTTCTTTCATCGTTGAATAAAATAACTGATTTTTTTAAAATAAATAAAAAAAAGAAAGAAGGAAGGAATTGAGAAAGCTCTTAGTCCAGAAGTATAAAATTCATAATATACATATATACATGAATGCATATACAGATTCAGAAATCTTTTACCATTTTCCCCATAAAATCTCAATCCCAAAATTCGCTTATGAGAAAATTGTGAAAGGAGGATCTGTATTGAGTGCGAATACGAAAACGTTCTTTTTATCACCAAGAGTGTGTGAAAGATTTAATTCGTCTTTTTCGGCTTGCTTGACTGACTTTCTATTGAATATATGGTATCTATACAATTTTTTGGCATTTTGCCGGTTCAATTCATAAGCTTCTTGGGTCTGACCCTCATTCCTTTCATAAATATGGCACAAATATCCTAGAATTACTCGCTGATACATTGATACTCTATTTATTTTCAATATGTTCCATGTAATAGTTGACTACGAAATCAATATTTTTAAATATCGTTTTATGTATTTTTTTAAACAAACACCTTGGTTGAAAACAAAAATTAAATGAAAAATAAAACGTGTGCATTTTCTTTGGCATACCGAAAAATTTATTGGGGCACATTGGCTGGGCTAATTTCTTTTCAGACTTCTTGTTTTTAAACTCATTTCAAAGACTTGTTTTTTTAATTATGAATTGTTGATATTCAAATATTTGAAGAGTGTGTTTTTTTAAATATCAACAAAAGTAATGCCAAGTAAAATATTTGAAACAATTTTCACCCAGACCTGGGTCAATTCTGTACAGAATTATATCAAGTATGTTCAGCTTATGGTTATATTAGAATTATGAAAATATGTATAGGACATGTGATCGCTCAAAATCAGATGATGAAACGAAATTTATCATCAATCATTTGATATGTGACAGATGTATTTGTTGAACTGATCGATTATGTTGTTAAAACATAATCGAAATCTAAATATTGGAATCATATCAATATGAAGAATTTTGCAGACATCTCATTATTAGGTTTTTCATTAGACGAGGTCAGTTTGAAGAAGACTGAAGAAGAAGCTGCCCAAAGAAAATATGGAGGACCCTTAAAACTATAACTTTATGTGAACAGAATAGTAGAATCATTTGTTGAAGTAATTCTCTAAATATCAATGTAATATTTATCAGATAAATTTACATGTGTGTTTGAAAGTGTGTGTGTATGTATGCGAGTGAATGACATAAGCCAAATAGCTCATAAAATTGTCATGTATTCTGATTGCTATTGAAAATAAAATTAAAAGAAAAAAAGTTTTGGACGTTGAAAATCATACAGGCAGTGTTTTGGATATTTTATCCAATGTTTGACATGATTTCAAAATTATGCTCATAGATGTATGGAGGCTTAGTCCATATTAATACCAATTGTAGTCATAATAAATTTCATAAAATATTATTTATATTTCGTTTAGTTTATATATGATTAATATCCACGACACTATGTGTTGTCATACTGATCATTAATAAAACGTTATTGGTATTTTCTTATTTATAATAGAAAAGAAAGGTTTCAAGAATTATACATTTTTTGGCAAAAACTCCTAGAGAGAAACAAAAGCCGTGTCCGATCTGACACTTGAATTTATTTTTGTTTTTTTTCTGTGCTGTCAATATATGGGCCAATCTGTCCAGTAACATGTGATGCGTGTTGACAAGCCGCGATGCGTGTTGGCAACCCGCTACATCACTCCGCCCTAATGAAAAAGATTGTTTCGCATCTCTGACTGCCATTCTTGAACTTCCTTGTAAATTTCTTTTGGTTGAGATTGTGTGATAAATTGCCGTGTTGGCTTGTTGAGTTTGTTGATTGCTTACGTGGCCCTTCGCTGGTGAGTTAGCGGTTGAGTACATGTGGCCCTTCGCTGGTGAGTTAGCGGCTGAGTATATTTGACACTTCGCTGGTGAGTTAGCGGTTGATTGTATGTGGCCCTTCGCTGGTGAGTTAGCGGTTGATTGTATGTGGCCCTTCGCTGGTGAGTTAGCGGTTGAGTGTATGTGGCCCTTCGCTGGTGAGTTAGCGGTTGAGTGTATGTGGCGGTTGCCAAATTGTTTGCTCCCTGTCTGTTGCCATGGTGCTTATTATCGACTTATTTACCATGATAATAAGTGATTTATTGAGCACGTGTTGTTGTTGATCTTGAAGTGCGTGGTCGGAGTCTCGGTTGTATGCTTAGAATGCTCTTCGAATTATGGAAGTTGTGAGCCATTTATAATAATTATTTATATTTTTAAAAATTCTTTTCTTAATAATTCTTGAGACTTCAATTTATTTTTTTTTCTTGTGCTACTTCAAAATATGTCTTGATCTTCTTACCTTCTTGTATGTGTGTTGCTAGTTCACTCTCGGGGTCACCAAAATATGGAGGTGTAGTAGTCCTCCATATTAATACCAATATTATCCAAATTGTAGTAATAATAAATTCCATAAAATATTATTTATATTTCGTTTAGTTTATATATGATTAATATCCACGACACTATGTGTTGTCATACTGATCATTAATAAAACGTTATTGGTATTTTCTTATTTATAATAGAAAAGAAAGGTTTCAAGAATTATACATTTTTTGGCAAAAACTCCTAGAGAGAAACAAAAGCCGTGTCCGATCTGACACTTGAATTTATTTTTGTTTTTTTTCTGTGCTGTCAATATATGGGCCAATCTGTCCAGTAACATGTGATGCGTGTTGACAAGCCGCGATGCGTGTTGGCAACCCGCTACAGATGTATTTAGGAAATGCAAAAAAAGTTGAATAGACTGAATGAATACCATATCATTCTTATTTCTGTACTTCGTATTTTTGAATATTCAATTTTATTTTTGTTAAATTTATCACACGGCTGAAATTATATTAAAAACGCGTGTGAACCGTCGTCCGTGCTGTTTTGCATATATAATAAATAAAACCATTCATTCAAATAATTCAATTATCTTCCAACGTCATCAAACTGGAAAACTGTAAATGGATGCTAAAACCGTGCTTTTCACATTCCAATTAAATCAAACAAAGTTAATTCACATAAATTACTGAATTTCTAAACTATTATTTCAGGAGCTTTTACAAAAACACGTGACACGTAATCCCTCGTGACTTTTATGGCGGTAGAATAATCTGATTCTCGGGTCATAAAGGCAGCAATTTTTTATTTTACCGATGATTTCGTTTATTTATTTTTTCAAGATGACATAAAATCCTTCATTTGCCATAAAATCGTCATTGAGCGTTATTGTTCGCTACTAAAATGTTTACGACATTGTATTGACGGAGTAATAAAATCTACGTGTCGCGAATTAATGGAAGCATTTAATGATGAAGATTTGCTGTACTTTGGCAGACAAATATATATATATATATATATATATATATATATATATTAATAACAAAGCCAATTTATATTACTCAATATATATTAGTAATCAATATAGGATAGTCATGAAATACTTGATCTTCCTATTGTAATATACATACCCTGAATATTCACATTTGTTACTGAATTTATAAGCAGTAATAAAGCCCTTAAGTCGGGCATAACATCAATAAAAACCACGGATTTTTTAAACATTATTCAAAAATTCATACGGTTTGGCTATAGTTTTAGCCCTTCATTCATTAGGACTAAAATTTAATATATAAAATAAAATATGCACCAATAGTTTCAAAAATTACAAATGAAAAGTAAAAATTACTCACTATTTGTTTATCCAATATTCATATTTCCTTATTTCTATGTGTGATTATTTGGTCCCGGATTTGCTGGTTCGATTCTTGCCAAATCTCGACATCAGGCAGCATTGATGTAAACTTTCCATTTGAGGTTATAGATCTCAAATATGATCTCAAGTGAAAATCGCCTCTCGTAGGAATAGCTGCAAAAAAAAAATCATAAAATGTTAAACATATACTTCGAATATAGTTAATTAGTCATAATTGGATTAGACAACTACTGGGTTGCCATCCATTCGAAAAGCCATATAATGATGCCATTACAATTACTGGATGTCCTAGTATGACAGATTGTAATTAAAAATACAACAAAAAAATCATCACGACATTCGTAATAATAGTTCCATAATTCTAGATCATAGATTTTTTCATCAAATGCGACATAGTACTATATCATTTTTTCTATCATTCATTTTCCACTCATTGATCAATTACTTCCAATCCTCCACCGTCCTCCGAGGCATTCGTAATAATCGTTCAGACCTCTCATTGCCGCCCAGGTCTGGAGCAGGAGCACATCGGCCTCCGTCGAATGAACACCTGCAGCACGTACATCAGCGTCAAGCGGAAATCGTCGCCGGCTCGTTGCCACTGCTCCTTGCTAAACGGCGGCAACTCGACGCAGTTCTCTCCCATGATGGTCCAGACGCAGGTGATGGCTGCGCCAATCTCGCGGGCGAATTCGCTGAGACGACCAGGAACTCTTACGGGAAACGGCGCCTCTTACGAGAACAAACTAGAGGCGTTCTCCGAGGACCAGATCTAGAGGTGGTGAAAGAGGAGGATGAAAGTGACTTGGTGTATTGTCATTGTTGATGATGGGGTGATGTAGGATGATATAATTAACTGAAGGTAAGAATTTCTAGAAGCAAATTAATTTTTTTGGCATGTTATATAATAACTTACAAGCAAGATGTGATCGCGCTTTAAATTTTGTAACAATGACTAATAATTAAATGGAATTGAACACAGGTTCACAAAGTAGTTGTCGGTATTGGGTGTGTGCCGTTTAGGGTTTGTCGGTTTTCAAAAACCGGTTTTAAAAACCGGTTTTTTGGCGAAAATTATGTAATTCGAAAACCGTTTTTTTAGTGTAAAAAGTAGGTTTTTACTGTATAATTGGAAAGTGACAAATATAGCCAAATATAAAAGATAGATGAAAGCGTTTTGATTCTTGCAATCATATCGGTTCAATAGCATTTTATATCCTATAAGTCTGCAATGGTTTTCAGAAAGGTTTTGTATATATTAATTTCGATTTTTATACCAGAGTATATATTAATTTAAATCAGTGTGACTTCTTCCCGAAGAAGTAACTTTCTCTACTCAAACTTAAAAAAAGAGTTTTAAACTCTAGAAGCCACAAATTAAAGAACAAAAAACTTAAAATTATTATATCAGGCTTCAAAACCAATTAAGCATAATTTGGTCGCAAGTATGAGATTATTTTTTATTTCAGGAAATTTTGTGAGTAAACAAAAGATACGTCTAAGTAGCAATTTGATAGACGTTTTCAGTTTATCAAAATCATATTTTATTAAATAACAAAACAATTAGAATGTTTAGAATTAATTAATTAAAATTGCTTGGAACAGACAATACCCGAGTTTAGCTTAATTGTTTTTAAAATTAAAATTGATATTAACAAGTATGTATCAACATGTACCTAATATTTTTTTATATTTTTTAATTTAATGATTTTTTTTATTTCAAAATGTATTATTTTTATTTATTCGAAAACTTTCCTTTCAGTATCATAAAAATATTTTCATTCTTATATGTGAAAATGATGCATGAATAAGGAATAATTATTTTCCAAGTTATTTAATCAAGATAAACTATTATTTTTTAGTTCTACTAATTAAAATTAAAATAATTTTGCTTACTATCTATAAAATTGAACAATAAATAAATTCAGCCAAATACTGCTCTAAATTACACTAAATTTGCGGATAAATTACAGGATATTCAGATAATATACAGCAAAAATTTATTTTTTATATAAAATTCGAACACCGCTTAAAACCGGTTTTTTAGTAAAATTAAAATTCGAAAACCGGTTTTCTGAAATGTCGGTTTTTGTATAAACTCTAACTGCCATTGTTGTCCAATGTATTTTTTACAGCTGGCTAATAAAGTTTAAGACAAAATGCCACTAATTAGAACTGTAATTTAGCTTCTAATTTAATGAGAAATTTTCTTAAGACACTTGCTATAAGAAATATAATAATTAATATAACTTTTAAAATTTTCTCACTTTATTTCTTTTATTTCCAGGATTTTTGGGTAATGTGAAGCACCATGCACTATTAAATATTCAGTGCTATAAAATTCTAGTGATTCTGTGATGTATTTATATATAGTGACTGAGTGAAAATATCTTGTATATAAAAAATTATCAAAATGTTGATTTATGCCAAAATTAAATTATCAAATAGTATATCATTGCTGTTATGTAAACTCAAACTGCATATTGTGGATGATTTCATAATATTAGACCATTATATTGTTGATCATAAATTATCTATATCAATATAAAATTGAAGCACACATACATATATATAAATATATGTAATAGTAAATTTAAAATTGTTACAAATATCTTTGTTCATATATCCAGTATTATATTTTAATCTACAATGTACATAAAACATTTATTAAGAAATTAATTGTATAAGTATTTTGACCATTTGTTTATGGTTGAGTTAAAATTATTAATGTATACATATTTTATAATAAATCTAATATTTTATAATGATTTTTTTATAATATTTATCTATACCTATGTGAACATGTATGTGGTAAATAGATAGATGATTTGCATTTTATGAAAATTCTAACTTCCAGTAATTGATTATTGTGTTTCATATAGCTTAGATTCGATTATCAGATTACATTTTCAAATATATAAAATAGAATGTGCAAAATGGTTATTGTATTTTTGTATTTTTCATTGTAACAAGGAAGACCGTCTTTATACATTATATAACATTTTAAAAGTATTTCTAAAATGGTTTATACTAAAAGAATTCTAATCTGCTCATCCTTGTTTCTATTGATTTATATCAACAATACTGTGAACTGCTGGGTAATTATAAAAATAATATTATTTTTATATACCATAGGTTTTTTTAGGTGCAAGAAACTGTAAACCTAATTATTGACTTTATAATGCCAATAAAATATTTGATGTTCAGATAAAAATCAAATTAAAGATCATACATATAATAATATAGTCGTCATGAATTTTATGTATTATAAGTTAAAGTATCTTTTAATTTATATTCACCTATAATTTTTAAAGGGTTGCAAAAAATATCTAAAGTTTCTTGCAATCAACGTATAATTTGGAAAATGTATTTTTTTCTAAATCTATGTTTCTTCATATTTTAGATGAAATATAGACTTTTTCCTCTATCTTATAAAATAGAGTATATGAACAAGGATTACGGAATTCTTCATAGAGCAGATATTAAAAAAATTAATAGAACTGACACAATTTTAATTGCCAATGGGACGCTACTCAAAACTGTTGATGATCTTGTTGTAAGTTTTATAATAATTATAATATTGCAAAATTCTTATGCATATATAAACACGTTTTAGCCTATAGTTCAAGTTAGTTTGAATTATAGTTCACCATTCAGCAAAACAAAAACTTATAAACTAAAATAGTTTGAAAAACTACAAGTAAATAAGTATAAATTTACAAGTTGCATAAGCAAAACTAGTGTTAAAAACAAAAAAAACAATAATACATGATTATATATATATATATATATATATATATATAATTAACTATTTTTTATAAATTTAGGCAACTGGTGAGATACTTAGGCATTCAAATGGTAAGAATAGACCAATGTTTCCGAGTGTTACTATAAAACCTTGCCCTTTATTGTCTCCTGATGCAAAAATTACCAACACTGGTTTTGTGGGTACTCTCATCAAAACATTCAGAAAACAAGCATATGACATATTGTTTTCACCTGACAACAAACTTCCACGATCTTGCCCAGTACCACCGGTTAGTAGACGTTGAAACTATTATTTTGAAATTAGCCGAACATTGTTTGTTTTCTTTTATTTTTAATTTCAGGATAATTATTATTTATCCTTTCATGTTGATGCAAGCAAATTTCCAGCGTTTTTACTACCTGCAGGAAAATATATGATTCAAGGAAATGTCACCATGGATGGTATGCTCCTTGGAAAAGCACATGGAATGTTTGAAATCGTTGAGTACTATTCTGAAAAACAATGGGCCCGTGGATAAATTTATATATTATTTTTGCAGCTCTCTGATTGCTGTTGAAATTTTTTTCGCAGTTTTGATTTGCTGTTTGCATAATGATTCATAATTATTTGATGTAACTTGTAAATCAAAATAATTATAAACAAAAAATACCGGACACTGAAATAAACTAGTTCGAATTTTGGATCCAACATAATTTTCATGTTTATGCCCATATATTCATTTCTACCGGTTTCTACAGGTGCGTTCATTGCATGATATTTCCAGATTTAAATGAAGCTATTTTTAAACTATGTATTATTAATTTTTTTGCTGGATTACATTTATATTCTAAAAATTTATTCAATATAATAAATAATAAAATTCAATATATTAAACGCCTCACTTTTATTAATTCATATCAGAATTTTGACTTGAATCTTTATAAGAATATTGTAGATTTACTTCATTGTAATTATTCATTATATATATATATATATATATATTTATTTATATATACATATATATATATATATATATATCATCATACTGCGGACATCATTTTAATGTAAATACTAACATTTATTTTATCCTCTATTTTATTTAATTGTTATTGTTTATTATTGTTACTAGATGTTAAAATATTCAGCAGTTGTAACATAAATTGTAATTAAAATATATGTATATATATATATATATATATATATATAAATAACGTTAAATAAAAACGTGAATTGCAATTTAAACTAATATATTTACAATCTAACTTATATCTAGTAATTATGGTTATTGTGTTTCATACAGTTTCGATCGTATTATCAAATTAAAATCTCTTATAAAATGCAAAATGGATATTTAGAAATTATATCAAAATATTCTGTTGGTTTTACTATATATATTTTTATGATATATTCAGTATTTTTTCATAAATTTGAACAGTTAAAACGTATTTATAAAATGTTTCATGGTAAAAGAATTCTGATCTTGTTATATTTCAGTATATATATGAGCAATTATGTGAACTGCTGGGTAACTATAAAAGTGAAACCTAACATGATATTAAAAATATTAAATGATAAATATATTCTCATTTATTAATGCGTTTTTTAAATGCAAGAAACTGTATTCAATTATTAATATTTTCATAAAGTCAATGCATTTTTATATTTCTTTATATATATATATATATATATATATATTTAGAATAAATAAAAAATTATGCTGATATAAATGTTATAAAGTTTGTGCATTAGATATCGAATGTTTCCATTAACTAACTTGTAATAGTTTTCATAGTTTCTTGCATTTAATTAAACAAATTATGATCAACAAGATAATATTTTTTTAGATGAAATATAGAGTAATTCCTCTATCTTGTACTGTAGAATATATGAACAAGGAATATGGCGTGATTCATACAGCAGAAATTAAAAAAATTAATAGAACTGATACTCTTTTAATTGCCAATGGAACGTTATTCAAATCTATTGATAATCTTTTTGTAAGTTTTCCAATAATATTGAATTTTTTGTGTGTGTAAATGCATTTTTTTATGATACTAGATCACAGGTCAGATACTAAGCCATTCAAGTGGTAAGAATAGACCAATGTTCCCCAATGTTACCATTGAACCTTGTCCTCTACTTTCTCTGACTTCACCAATTAAAGAAACTGGTTTTGTGGGTAGCCTTATCAAAACAATGAGAAAACCTATATTTGACATGTTGTATGCCCCTGGACAAAACTTTCCTCGTTCTTGTCCATTGCTACCGGTAAGTATATTTTACTTACTGTTTTGCTAAATTGAACAAAAATGATTATAAAGTTAAAGTTATGTCAACAAACGATTTTTTTTATTTTATTTTTCGGTCCAGGATACTTATTATGCATCTGTAGTTGCTGACACGAGTAAATTTCCGTCGTTTTTACTACCTGCAGGAAAATACATGATTCGAGGAATGCTTTCTATGAAGGATAATGTGGTTCTAGGAAAAGCATCTGGAATGTTTGAAATTGTTGAGTACTATTCTGAAAAACAATGGGCCCGTGGATAAATTTGGAAAAGTTATCGCGATTATTTACTACCTTTTCTTTAGTTAGTAATAAGAATAATGTTTGATGCACTAATGTATTTGGTAATAGTTACGTACCGTAAATCCTTTTACTTTACAAAAACTGATTTACATACATACAGATTTTATTTGGTTAAAATTACATCATCCATATGTAACATTTGCTTATTTATACTATATTTTAAAGATCACTGTTTTTTATGTACTTGTTACCCTCTGAATTTCGTCCTATATATTTCTGAGAATATTTTCTGTAAGTACCTTGAATAAAACAAAAGTTTGAATATTATTTATTACAATAATACAGTTAATAATAACACCTACATCCTTTTTTTCTATGGACGGTTTTAGGTAACGGAGAATAATGTAAGACATCACTAAAATCGTTTTTATTTGTGATTTCATGATTAGGCTCAGGTCTTCTGACCCGCATAAATTGACCTCGCAATTTTGCTTCCTTTGCTTCGTTTAATGATACAGCCCGCCAATCCAAAAATAATAATTTTGGTAAATGATGTACTATGTAACACCTGAAATAGATCAATAATATATAGTAATATAAATGCAAGGTGTATATTTGAAGTTAAATTAACTTGCCTATAACGAAAATAATCTTGGACGTCTGTTGTTGGATCACTCAATTGATCAGGACAGATCAAATTTCCAAGCAAACTCAAATAATGAAGAGAAGGCGCGGATTTTGATAATTTTGTCACAGTTGATTCTAAATTTCGCAACTACTAGCAAATACATTAGTACATAGCAAATACATTAGTACATCAAACATTAATAAAATAAATATTGAATCTTATCCTTACCCTATTTTTGTTAAGAGACAATGTCCGTAAGTTTGGCAGGTGAGGTAATACAAAATTGTCGTCCAAATTATTAGAATCTAATATTAGTTCCTCCAATGCTTGAAATTTACTAAGTCCTTCTAAGGAATGTATTTTGTTGTCGGTCAAATCCATTTTGAGAAGAGATCTTGAAAACATTTCAACAAATAATGCTGGTATGCGCGAACAACCATGGCCGGTGTAAATCAACTAAATAATAATTGAAATATAAATAAATAAATAAATATATATATATATATATATATATAAACATTAATTTTGCTTTTTATTTTACTTTATGTAAATTTAATTAAATAAAACTTACCCTTTTTTCACTGTCAATGTAAATCACATCAGACCATTTCAAATATTCTTCGACTTCTTCCATTTTGTAGATACTAATTTGTTTTCTCACAATTTATTTTTGATTATCAATTAACTAAAAATTTAAACACTAATTACCACTATTACATATCCATGTTAAGACAATTGTTCATTTTTTTATATGTTTTTCTTATAATAATAATAGTTAAATTTTATCCCATCTTCATACTTATAGAAGATTGAGCAAAGTAAGTTTTACCTATCTATATTGTGGTGAGATAAAAGGTAGTTTTGATAAAATTAGAATTTCTTATCTCAAGGCTATTCACTGATATTGAAAAAGAGATATGAGAAAACAAAAAATATTCAGAATCGCACTGACATTGATTAAATTAACTTGGAAAATTAAAATATTCCATTCTAATTTGCTTTAGGAAAATATTATAACTTATATTAGTTGAGCTTGAAAATTTAGATCTAAATAATATTTTTAAATATTTACAAGGTAGCTTTCTAAAAATCCACGTTGTTATGTAATATTATGTATATCAAATTATATAAAATATTGTTTATATATGCATAAGTAAAGGTATATTAAATATATATTCAAGTTATTCAACTGGAATTCTTTCTGATAAAGTGGCTACCATCTTTAATTCTAATCTGCAAACACAGCAGTTTGGAAACACACTAATGTTCTCAAAACTGATTTGATAATAAAAGAAATATCCATACATATATACTCATAGCACTAAATAAAATAATTAATAAAGCTTACCACAAATTTATATAGCTTTAAAGGACAAAATGTGAATACAAAAGCCAGATTCAAAAGATGATCAACTTCAACAAGTCTTGCACTTTTCTTGCTTCTTGAATTAAATGTATTTCTGCTCACTTTTGTCCACCAAAAGATACATTTATATTTATTTATTTAATTATTAATAATAAATAAATTATAAAATAATAAGAAACAACTCATTTCAAATCAAATTTAATTAATTTTTGACAGTTTGACAGACTACCAACACCACAACGCTTCAGTGCACACGTCTACCAACATCAAGAAAATATAACATGTTAAAATAAAATAGTTGCATCGAAAATGTCCAGGAGTAATGAATAGAATCTTTAATTAGTAACTATGGCAGACCGGTAACAATTTGATTAATTATTTTATTTATAATTATATATTTTAATAAAAAAGGTGGAGTTTATGCGACCAGAGGCGCCATCTAAATCATAGAGTTACCAATCTCTACTGTCCTATTGTCTATGGTTTACTGGGGCTCATGTTGCTGTCAAATACATAAGTTCTCTAAAGAGAACACCCATTATAGTAAAATGCCAAAAGTAGTGATATACTCGATTGTTACAGTGATATTGCACAATATTATATTAACTAATGGTAAGTTTTGTAATATATATAGATATATTATTTTGTAGTTCACCTAAATTTCAATGTATCAATATTTAAATGATGAGTAAACATATTTACTTTATATTGCATTTACATTTTTTCCGAGCTGATTGTTCTACATTGCTTAATTTTTGGCGCGTAAAACACAAATGAAACTTATATTCAATGTTTAATTATTGTTATCTTGTGTTAAAAACGACAATCTTTTGCTCATTAATTATGCATGAGTCTTCTTACATATGTGAATATGTCACTACATAGTCGTTGTTGTTCGTAAATAATTTTTAATAATTAAAATATTAATATTAATTTCAAACATTACTATCTTTTCTGTGTTAATGCCATTATATTTGGCACACAAAACTAATTTGTATCATTATTCTATTTGTTTAGTGTACTTAGTTTACTTCATATGTGTTTTAAATTCTACTATTTAATGCAGGGTTCTCGGTTTGTAACCGAACATATTATGGAGAACTTGGTAAAACTTATTCCCTTGAAGTCCCTCCACCACAGTGGAATAGGCTACCATTTTTTTGCCACTTGACATTTACGACTAATGGACATAATCACGGTGACTTAGTCCAGGTAAGATTTTTAACATTTCTTGGTATAAATTATTGTCATAGTAAAGGTGCATAAGTATATACTCATTATTATACACTGAGGTGTTAAAATTTCTTCTATTTATACTAATTTTGAATGCCGAGATTGTCTCACTAATTTACAAAGTTTCCAAAACATTTACATGAATTTTTAAATGCTTATGATTATTCTTTCATATTTTTATTGTTAACTTATATGTTTATTATTTTCTTATTTTATGATTTTCTTTATTTTCAGTACATATTTATAATTTGATTAAACATTTATTTGTTTAATTTAAAAATATGTAGAACCAAGATGAAAAATGCTGCAATATCCTTATTGTAAATGAAGGGATTTTTTATCAGTAAACTTTTCCAGCAAGATGTTTTGCATAAGACTAGTTGAAATGTGTAAGTAAATCTAAAAAAAATATTTTAAACATACAAATACATATGATGTGACTTAATTTGTATATTATATATAATTTTTATCAGAATGATTTATAAATTGTTTGTGAATATGAATTGTATTTTTTATAAATTTGCAGTTAATCTTTGATGCATTTAACATTGGTCGCTATGAACCTGAAGCTCTGGATGGTTGTCCAGAGGGGTATATGCAGATGTCTGAACTTGGTCGACCATTTATTGGTGGTTCATGGTGTGGACATAGTACAGGATATGCTGTTTATTATAGTGAAACCAGCACTATAACTGTCAGTATTAAGGTAAGTTAAAATTATTTTTATTGTTCACTTAACAGCCTTTACATTACAATTAACATTACAATATTCGTTAGGTGTTTCATGCACCACTGAGGGCAGCTACTGCATTTGAATTTAAAATTCGATTCAAATTTATTTCACAAAGTGAAGCTGTTGTAAGGTAAGCATAAAGATTCAATGTAATGTTAAAAATTTCACTAGCTGTGTTCATATTTCCAAAGTCTAACCACTTTGAAATATTTTTGTAGATTTGGGTCAGCATCAAAACCATTAGAACGTGGTAGAGTTTCTCCAGGTACTTATTGTACACGCCAATTTGAAGAGTGTTATAGGAAAACATGTCGTCTTCAAAGTCCAAATTATCCTGGCATGTATCCTCGAAATGTTACATGTTACTGGAGTTTAAGACAGAAAGCTGTACCTACTTGCAAGCATGCCATGGTTTCAGTGAAACAGAATCTTGAACAAAAGGTAAATAATTATTTGATATCAATAATTATTGTTGATTATTTTTATGAAACTAATGATTTTGAAACTAATTTCTTTTCAGGTGCAAATGAAAAGATCAATTTCAGCAAGCTTAAACAGAACTAGCAAGGTTTTGCGCACTTGGCAAGACTGCACTGGTGAAAGAGATTATCTCATATTTTATGATGGGACCTCAACAGATGATCCAGTTCTTATAAAATACTGTGGCGGAGATTGGTTGCCCCAGATAGTTTCTAGAGGCCCTGAAATGCTGGTGGCTTTTCATTCTTCTCCTTACAGTATACCTTTACATGCATCAACACCGATGAGAGGGTTTGAGTTAGATGTTGATATTATTTTTTCGGATTCATATTCCTTGGATTTCTCATCAGATCCAAAAGCATGTATATTTCACATTAATGCTTCTGATCCAGATGGTGTCAGTATTGAACTGAAACGTGGTCGAATGGGAAAAATTTTGAGTCCTAGACATACTTTACCTCCAAATACAACATGCACTTATAGATTTCATGGCCAAGAGAATGATTTGATATGGTTGTATTTTGTTAATTACAATAATCATTTATTGATCCCACCAAAGTCCAGTAATGATTCCAACTCAAAGACAATATATGCTAAACCCTTACCTGTTTGTCTTACTCGATTGAAAATTTGGGATGGTAAAGGTAAAGAAGACCCATTATCTCAAGTAATTGCTGATCATTGTGACAATGATACTCCTAAAATGTGTGACCATATATCACTTAGCAATCAAACTCGCATTACAAGACCTTGTACAATAGCTGAAAGTTATATAAGTACTGGTAATGAAATGGTTATTCAAACACACACTCATCAGGGTACAGCATTACATCAGAGCACATTCAAAATTATTTATGAGTTTGTTGATACCAGATTGCCAGGTGAACCATGGATTGGTCGAAAAGAAGATAATTTTTCAAGCAAATGTTCTAGAGTTTTTAGAAATAAGAAAAAGGGTACTGTTGGATTGCCCAGGAATGTCTTTATGTACGGTCGCGGAGGTGCCAGTAATTTAAGCTGCTTGTATAGATTTGAAGCTCCAGCTGGTGAACGAATTCGATTAGAAATAAACAATATTTCGTTTGGTAAAAATTTGGAATGTTATACAGACTCAGATTTTCATGTAAACCGTCCAAAATGTGTGTATTTAAATGATAGTGAGTCTAAGGGACCTGAACTTAATCTTTATGATATACATTGGAATGATTTTCGTCTTCACAAGGCTTGCATATGTGATAATGCTACTTTGTTTGAAACAAGCAATTCGCCAATAACATTTCAGTCATCTTCCAATGTTATGGAATTACGTTTTGATGCAAATAAACTAAATATTTCAGAGGATTTTTTAGATATATTCTTTCAAGTAACATATAAAATGATACGTGTACCGGACTGTTCAAGAAATCAACATTTAACTGGCCCTGGAGGCGAGGTACATGTTACTTGGCCTCCTCAATCAAGGCATGAAGTAAATTGTGAAGGTAATTATTTTGATCAGAATTTGCTACATTGATTTAAATTTCTTTTATAACACTTGTATATTTTTCTTGCAGGTATCCCCTGGTTGCTGGAAGCACAACATGATAAAAGTTTATTTATTTTAACTTGGGGTACTCAATTGATGTTAAATCCAACACCAGAAGATCACTCTAAATGTCCTACTAAAAATCGTTTCATTGTGTTCACGGGGAAGCCTCCAAGGTAAGTGCTTGTTTTTCTTGAATTATGAACATTTTTAAAACTTTATATGATGTTTTTTGTTATTGTGGGCATTATAAGTATTTTATTTTTGCCATGCCAATAATAAATAATTTATGTATAAACGAACAATTATTCTCATAGCGTGCGCAACCTTGTTTGATTATATCAGACATGGCTTATTAAATACTATATAATAATTAGTGATATATTGTAGTTCATAAGTTAGATTGAACTTTTTTTTTGGAAAACGTTTATAAAAGTTTGTAAGCATTTTGGATAGGCTTACCAACAAAATGTTAATAGATTGCCTGTATACATTTTTACATGAAACCCAAATCTTTAAATTGAAAAACACAAAGGAACAAAACTGATGTGTATGATATGATTTATAGAATGTAGATGAAAATGGTATATTGATTGCTTCCAAACCAACAAATTAAATTTCCTAGCAATTATAGGACATTGGATTGAAGTTATTATTTCATAAAATCTCTTGAAATTGAACATAAACATTAGACCTGTTCAGTGCTTTTATGTTAAAAAGAGACAACGACGAATCTTAGAAAAATCATCTACAATGATGAATTAACTTGGAATTATACTAAAAACTGTTCGACTGTTTATTTTATTCATGTTTTGTGTTGTAATGTAGTTGGGTTGGTTATCACAGTAATATTACTAACGGAAATATTGACCTACCCATTTTACTTTAAATTATTATATGTGACTTTTCACTTTTTAGGCCTGTGCAAATAATTTGTCCTTCGGAGTTGCGATCTCCTCAATTTTTGCTTTACTTATTCAGTGATGAATTAAATACTGCCAATACTGAACAAATGCCTTCAATAAATAAGCAAACTGCCCATTATATTCTAGTAGAACTGATTGTCCGAGAGGCTGGTGCTATTACGTTTAATTGGTTAGAAATATCTAGAACAAAGAGTTCTTTGCTAAAACAATTAGATTTGCCAGCAAATTTAACCGTGAACGATACGCAAAACATTTATCCTCGTGAAGAAGAATGTGCTTATAAATGCCCCGAGATTGATGCCTGTATTGGATCCAATCTTTGGTGTAATGGGGTTGTGAATTGTCCATCAGGTTTTGATGAATTTGAGATTAATTGCGGACATGCTTCGAATATATTTAATTATCTTCCCGGTGGTTTGTTTGCCAGTATAGCCTGCGCTTCAGCTGTAGCAGTGGTTTGGCTGTTATACTTAATATTAGTAATAGCGAGGCGAAACAATAAACTGAGTAAGAAAAAAAATCTTGGAAAATTAATCGATAAGCGAACGGTTAAAGAAGAAAAACTGCACACACCGAAATCCTGACGGCAGCCTCCAAACTCTGTCGAATATATTCATGTCGACAGAGAAACTACAGTGTGATCTATTAAAAATAGAACTTGGACATTTAAATTAATGTATCTGAGTTTAAAATATTTTTAAATCTCTTAGGTCAAACAATCATTCATTGTCTTATAGTGTACATATTTCTAAGTTATAAAACTAGTATTATCTTAACTTTACGTTTTGCACAAAATGTTTAATCAAGGTAATTTTAAGATAAATTAAACTAGCTCAGAGCTAGTTATCACAAGACGTTTTGGAGGAAGAGTCAATCTTATTAAAGTTCAAAAATTTAGTGAACTCATTCTATTGCTAGACAGGGATCTACATATATAAATTCACATAAATATAACCATATGATATTTTTGTGAATATTATTATAAGGTGGGTAAAATTTTTGGCCGTTGGGTCACTTTACAAATTTTTGTTCTTTGAATCATAACAAGGCACCCTAAAAAAATTGAAGCTTTCCAGCTATAGTTTTTTTTGGGCAAAGTTTCTTGAATGACCCATAGGACAATTGTAAAATGTGCCCTGACGGCCAAAAATGTGTGTCAAAATCCTTGCGTTTGAGAGTGTATAGACTATAATAAAACCTATTTATTTAAAAATATCCTGCATGACTTTCTGGTACTGATGTTATGTGTGATATCCAATGATATTTGAAAAAAATTCATCTCACTCTCGTCTGATAATTTCTAACACCATATGCCTGACTAGCAACCGCAAAGTTAATTTATGCCACACAATCATTATTAACATTATAAAGTTTATTAAAAATATGCTTTACACATTTTTATATCGAGGATAATTAGAAAACGTGCATGAAACAATTCAAATAAATATTTTGTAAGTATAATGAAAGGCTTGTAAATATGCTTGTAGTCTAATAATAATTATTAAAATGAACACCCAATTTTATTTCGATTTTTACGCACACTCGTTAGTAATAAGTCGAAAATAATACGTAGCATAAAAAATATGTAAAAATATATGTGAGCGAATAATACATATTTAAATTTTTTTTTTGTCTGACGTTAAAATAAGTTGATGGAAAATGTTAATAAATTCCTCGGTATAAAATTTACACCTTGTAATGGATAAAATTTGTATAGTTTATACTTTATTTTTAAAAATACTTGTCGCTATTATGAAATATTATTAAATAATGAACTCTCTCGATAATATTAAATCTTAAACTCTGAAGTAATTTTAATTTCAGTGAATATTTTTAAAATTGTTTCATTTAATGATTTTGGGTGTGGGTGTAATATTGATGAATTTATTAATATATTTAACCAAGAAACATGTTTATGTGATAGTTTATCCCGAAATATTTATAAGATGATATTACGTTTAGTAAATCGAAGAATTGCTCATAAAAAAATTAAATGCGCAATTTGTGTGTTTTGTATGACCACAATAAAAGTCATATAGATGATGCCAACTATAAATTTGCACAATCATAAATCGATTTAATCACTCATACTATTTTATCCCATCATCTCATATTATATGAGTATTTATATTATAAATATAAAGCATTCATATATTTTTAAATCACGTTTTTGAGTTAATCAATTAATATTATGTCAAATGACTGCTGCCATTGCATAATTAAAGAAAACTAACGAATTTAAATTCTGCTGTAATTATGCATATTATCCTTAGGAAAAGCACTGTACTTTAAATTATGAGAAATTGAATGAATGATGATAGTTGTAAAAGCTCTTGTACGTTAATTGAAGAAAGAGGGAAAGAATTTCTATAAATAAATGTTAGTTAAATTAATAATAGTGAAATATTTAATATAAAAATGTTTAATGCAGTAGACTACCGCACCTGTACCTACTGCATGTAAAAATAACAAAATTAGTTTATGTACACGTTATCGGGCAATTTTAATTTTAATAGAAATTTTATTATAGTATAACTTAATTTGTGATATTTCTATAAGTAAGACAGACTTAGTTTTAATTTAAAATGCGTTAAGTTTAAATATTTGGTTGGAGTTTATTAAATTTGTATATAACATAGAAATGTTAATGTTAAAATTTATGACAAGGGATTAATGCATTTTGGATTAATAAATAAGGATTTTAAAGACCGTGAGATCAGAACCACCGAACTAATATTTCACATTCGACTAATTATAAGAATTTTCGTTTTAGATAAATATTTAATAGAATTTTCTGTAACGGATTGTTTCCTCAACACGGTATATACTATTTGGGTTGTAAAAATCGTAGTGCAATTATGTTGAGAATGAATGCGAAAATGTGAAATACATAAAGTTATGCATTATGTATGAATTAAATAAAGTCAAATAGCTAATAATTGCTCTTTTTCTGTAGTTAGACTGTTTTCTGCTAATAACAATGAAGTGTTGTTTTTTATGAAATTAATTTCATACTTGGCTTCTAATTACTGCAAATTTCTTTAATTAATTTTTGGTTTGAAATGTTTTTTTTTTATTACTTTTTGGTATTTATCGGTCGGGCCATTTATTCGTAATTAATTGTTGAAAAATCGTTTTGTAGCAATGAGCCTCCTAAATTTAATTATTGTATCGTCACAAAGTCACAATTTTAGGAGTCACTAAATTTGAATTCTTTTTAAGTGGATTATTTGTATCATGTATTTCGGCGAGTTTATGCAACTTGCCTTAAGGCAAAATGCGACTAGTTAATTTTTCCTTTATCGTATAATAAACACAAATTTCAATTTATATTCATACTATTTATTTTTACATTATTTTGTACAATTACTTTAATATGACAGTGAAGTCTATATTTATATAGATATCTAATAAGCTGCTGGACGGATTATGATTTTTTTTTTCATTCTATTTTTACTATATAAAAATTGTGCTCGTTTACGTCTTAGATACAACTCTAATAATATAATATTTTGCTTAAAACTATTATTTAATAAATAAATGCAAGGCTTTGTATCCAATTTATATTTTAAGAGTGCGGCACTTTATCACTTCGGTTGCCTGGTGCAAACTAGGCGAGATTCTCGTTTGTTTCTAGCATTTAGTATAAGCAATTATACATTTATTTGCCTATGTTTTTTATTTAATCGTATTTGTTTGCATTATTTGCACGTATATTTATTTTTAACTTCCGTGCACGTCCTACAGTTCACGTAGCAACACCAATGAAATTCGCATTCACATTGCCAACTTCGAATATTCTGATGAGTGTTGTACCCTCGGCCACAGCACATTATATCGCAGCCATCACTACCTGAAAAGATAAAAAAATTTAAAAAAATAGATTTATGTGGCATTTTTCCTTAAACCAAGAATTTTCGAAACCGGTTCAACATTTTTTGCGAAAACGTGGACGAAAAATCTTAGCCTTTTTTTTTGTTCATACATGTCTGACGCTTAGAAGTTCCACATGAGCCATGTCTAACAAATTGAGTAGAAAATTTTTTGCCTCGTCGAAAAAAAGTTTTAATATAAGCCAATTAAGTCAAATATGTGAGTCATGAAAAGTAGTGTTTTTCAACACATTGTTTGCTTGATACATTTATTAACCAAATTATCCAATAGTTATCATGGCCCATGTGATTTTTTTGATATCGTTGTAGAGATTACCGTGTTAAGTTTTTCATATCGTTGCTTTCCAGAAAATGACGATGAAAGTTCAAATTTGGGAACAAATACATACCTTTACCTTTCAGTATCAAACGATAAAAATAACTTGAAAATTTGGGAAAACATAAAATTAATAACCCAAAATTTCTTGTTAATTATAATCAGCCTAAATTAAGCGCATCTTTTCAAAATTTATGGCACATTTTACCTGTTCCGGTTCTGTTGCAAGTTCTGCCTCTTGTTCCCAAACTTCCAGTGGTCAAATCTGCTTCACAATAATTTGGCGAAGCTTGCAGATACACAAAATCGTTTATCTTAGGAAAAATCTGTTTTCCTACTAATCCATTCGATTTAGCTCTAAATAGACAAATATTACACATATCTGGTTAGTGTTTATTTTAGCTCAGTTCAATCCAATTAAATATTCATAAAGATTTCTTTTATGTAAATAAACTACATTTTCCAGTATTATTAATAAATTTACGAGCTTGTTAATGCATCATTATTTACTAGTTGTTTAGAAAGGAAGTAATGTTAACGACTATTGAATTATATTACGGCAAGTATTTATCAAACTTACCGCTTTATAATCAAACTTAAACCATCGTCTTTATTGAACAAGTTTGATATTCGTGTTTGCTGTTTAATTCCATAAATAGCGACAACTAGACGAGCGCGATAATATTTCTTCATTAAATAATTCCCAACATTTCGAAATGTTGGTAAAGATCTCCAACAAGTCTTCATTGTACATGATCCTGAGACGCCGTGGCATTTGCATTCCGTTCTCAAATTATCCTTGACGGCCTGTAATAGAAATAGATAACTAGTGGTGTATGGCAACGTGCCTTAAGGCAAATTGCTGGAACTTACCCTACCGTAATGAAACATTGTAAGAATATTGAATGTTGTCGAATGGGTTGTTATAAATACTGTAACTTTCATTATTCGTATTTTGTAGACAAAATAAAGGAATTTCCAAGAATTAAATAAATTGAGTTGCAAAGTTATTAACCCTTTCCACTCGCATGCTGCCAGGTGGAAATTCGCGAGTGGAAAGAGATTATTCAAGTATGTAAGTGAGGTTTACAATTTTAGCTAGAATTTAATTTAAAATCCGATTTATGTACGATGTTCTAAAAATATTTTTTGAAAATTGAAATATTGAAAAAAATGAAATAAAAAATATTTTTGCCTTCCCTAAAAACTATTCTTTCGTCAATACAAGAAAGATTTCTTGAATTATTCAAGTCGTATACTTCGTTCTCTAAAAAGCTGCTACTTTTTTCACATTTAGCTTCGTATCTCCGAAACATCTTGACCTGCCTTTGCCAAAATCTAATCGCCTCTTCTCCAAATCATTACGAATTGAATGTTATTTGAATAATTCAAATCGGATGGACTATTCTCCCAAATTCTTATTCTTATTCTTATTTTACGCACTCTTAGCTCCGTATCTCCGAAACCCTTGAACTTGTTTTTTGTCAAAATCTAATCAGAACGTTTCCCCATCAATAGGAGTCGAATGTTTTTTGAATTATTCAAATCAAAAAATTGTATCCATACATACATACACACACATCATTTTTAACTTTCCGTAGTTCAAGTTATAGTAATCGCAAAAAAATCGAAAATGAAAATTTTTATAGATCTTTACGTTTCAAATCCTTCTGAACATTTTGGCATACCTTAGAAAAAAATGGATGTGTGTGTGTGTGCGTGTATGTATGTATGTTCGGATACAAATTTTCGTCGACGATTTCGGGAACACGGATCAACCGATTTGAATAATTAAAAAAAAAATCAATTCGTAATGATAAGGAGACGTGCTGATTAGTTTTTGGCGAAGGCAGGTCTAGCCGTTCCTAATATACGGGGCAAAAAGTGCCGAAAACATGGAGAAAAAAGTAAAAAAATGAGCCATTTGGCGGTCAAAAATGAACATTAGACATATGCACATCAAATTATCAGATATTTTATAGAGATTTTAACAATAAGTATAAATTTTATTTACATTCCTATGGGTTCCGTACCAATGTTTACGCGTTAGACGGCAACGCGGCGCTTACGCGCTTTGATATTTCGTCTTTATGCAGTTAAAGCAGTACGATTGCTTTGAAAAAAAGTTCAGAATTTCCAAAATATTTCAAAATAAATGATTTAAGAGAGAATGATTTAATATGGTTCGAAATTCTATTTAAAGTTTTAAATCATTGATCAACTTTTATTGATTGTTATTATTGATTATTTTTAATTACTCGAATTTTGAATTGCGGTACGGGAAGTTCCAGCAATTTGCCTTAAGGCACGATGCCCTAATTGCCTTAAGACAGAATTCCACTTACAGCTAGTTTCTAAGGTATGCCAAAATGTTCAGAACCTTCAAAACGTGAAGATATGCAAAAATTTTCATTTTCGATTTTTGACCGTTATCCTAGGGAAAGTTTTAATAGTATACATGCTACTGACAAATATGAATCTTCTTATTACCTTTCTTCCAGCTTTGTTGTTATGTAAATTCATCATGCTTCGTGCGTCCTGTTCGATTTCTCGTGCGTCCAGGAATTTTCTGGCGAACCTGATACCGAATCCGACATCAGCTCCGCATCCACTCCATTTCCAGCTGCTGACAGTTCGAAATGCGCTCTCGACGTCATCATTTTCCTTTTGAGAATTAAAAACTAAACTGACTTGTTTATATGTATCACACCCGCACGCTGAAATGTTCCCTCGGGCGCATGCAGCGGTAACGGCGTACGCCACCGCCGCGCTAGTCACGGCGTACATGAAGGCTGCCTCGCGGGAACCTGGGGAAAGGATTGATTAATTATTTATTTATTAATCTAGCTGTTTAATCAAACTTTCGATAAGCATTCAGAAACATTGTAGCAATACTTGTAAACGGTTAGGGAAATTCGATTTATGGATGTTAACACACTTTTGTAAAAAAGTGAACACTGTGACTGGAGATTATAAGATAGGTCATTAAATACAAATACAGATTTGTGAACCATCCTGAACACCGATAGATTTAAAAAATGTATGGATATGAATGTATCTACATATCGTGCCAATTTGAAAGATTGATTAAAATAACATCAGCCTATTTTATTCATTCATTAGAGAAGTTATAAAAGTTGTATAAACTAAACTGACTTTATCTAACAACTGTTGATTCTTTCCAGCATACGATAATTTATTTGCCATTTATCATTTTTTTTTCTTTTTTGTAACAATGTTCGAAAGAATTACTTCGGGTCTAAAGGCATGAATTTTATACGATTTTTGAAACGACGTAAGCAAACAAACAACATTTTTACTATATTTTTTTATTATTTTTTTTTTATTATTATTTTATCATTATTATTATTAACGTTTTGAGAATATATAAAAAGATAAAAATTAAAAATAGTCAAGTTTTAGTTCAAGAAGATGACGGCGTGATGTGTTTAAAAAAATTGGCCCTGACGTACCCATGATTTTTGCTTTATAAACTATTTTTGCAACATTTTTTTTATTCCCGATTTTTTTTAAAACTAGTAAAAATTGGAATTGTAGTTTATACTGAACGGAAGACTCTATGAATTTTTTAAGTAAATCGGTCCAGTAGAAGTTTAGTCGTAGTATCGTATAAAATTTTGAGAAAAACACATTTAAAGTTTTACAGAGAAAACAGAGGAGGATTATCATGGCCAAACTGCTTTATTTCTGAAATTAATTTAAATTTTGAAAAATTGTATACACATTCATGAATAGTTATACTTTGTAAATATCCAAAAACAAAATAGATTTTTTTTATATCAAAATCAGAATATCTTAATCTTCAGTTGTAAATACATGAGATGAAAATACGAAAAAATATTAATAAGATTTTTATTATATCCAGCAACTTCTGTTATGGTAGTTAATATATTTAACTGGTGTTTATTAAGTCACACTTTCAATACTCACTCGGAAATGTGTAATGTTATTCGTAAACAAATACGGATAATCGATTTTATAATAAATAATTTTATTGCAATATTTTTAGTCTGAAATGACTTTTTATGCACCACTAAACAAAATTTATGTCCGTACTGTTTATTGGTCAAACAGTTGCCATGCTTTCGTTTCCTAGGTCGAATACGCAAATGTTGCATGTTTCAAGTTTTACAACCCCAAATATGCAATAAATGAACAACTCATAATACACACGAAGTTCTCATAAAGCACAAAAAATTGTGATTGTGTGGTTTTAGTAAGTTAACTACATCCATTGACCTTTTACGGCAATAGATTTGGAATGAATTTAAATCGAAAAAATCGTTATAAAAGGTAAAAAAAAAATTGCATTTGTTGGTGTTAGAGATACGAATTTTTACTAAAAATAATTTATTCCTGCAATTTTCCTACTAATGGACTCGTCTAAGGAAAGAGCATCAATCTTTTCATACCAGGAAGCATGAGATGACCGAAAACATTATCATCTCCCAAACTGGTGCAGTTCCATCGGCGGTGTCTGAACTGGTGTTGGCACTCGGCTGCCCCAAGTGCTGTCCCTTCACCGACAGCTACCAGGGCGTCTGGTGACTGCCGGCAAATCTCGCGTTGCCGGGCTTCCAATCCTGGTATCCGAGCACAAATTACTTGCGCTTCTAGGCTCGAACTTACGGACTTTCTGCGGTAAGTGATAGTAAATGATTGTTAAAGAATTGGGTGTTAAAATCTTTATAGTTTAGGTTTTTGTGAATAGCTATTAGGGATCGTTCAAGTATTACGTAAGCAGATTTATTGCAATTATTTACCGCCCCCCCCCATCCTCCTATTCAGCAAAAGTAAGCCAAGCCTTTACCCCCTACCTCCATGCTTACGTAAATATTTTGCAATTTATGTATTGTTTATTTTAAATATTGTAATTATTAGGTTATAATTATAATTTTAAAAATAAGGATATAGGTTTAGGATGTAGAGCTAGATATGGTAATCAACATAGAGTAACAAAATTATTATAATATTATAACTTATTTTAAACTTTTGGTACTGGCAAAGACAATGTAAGGTTGCCATTAGGTAACCCAATAAAAACACTACCTATGATAACCCCCCCCCCAATAGTGCTTACGTAATAATTGAACGGCCCCTTATTCTTTGTGATTTTATTTTTGTAAACTGAAATCCGCCTTTTTTCTCAATAATTATCACAACTCAATTTTTTTTTCAGAAAATTGTTTATAAATATTTTCTGCGTTTTGATATGACATGATGTCCTCAGGAATTCAGTTTATGGTTAAAAAAATATATATTGATATATGAAAATCTTTGTGTTATGAATAAATTTTATTCATCGTGTACTTTAGAAAAATAATTATGATTTTTTCTATTATTATTACCTTGTGATGGACAAAATGATGAAGATCAATATAAAATAGTTCTGTATATCTTTATCGCACAGAATTAAAATATTTTCCATTCGAACAGGCCGAAATGGCCAATGTAATATAAGCATTCTTGTCACATTATTATGTGCTAATTTTATATTACAGTAGCATTTTTAAGCACTTCGTTAAAATTTGTTATATAAATATTAATTGTTGTTATTAAAATTATTCCGGAACTTGAAAGATTCATATTTTTTGAAAAGCTCGTACAACGTATTTTCGGGGATGCACTCTTCAATTAGTTCACTAATTAGTTTTGCACTTTGTTCTGGTGTACGCATTTTCACTTTATATTTTGATACCTTAAAAACATAAAAAATTATTACCTTTAAAAAAAATCACTGTATATTTTTAATTACACATTTTTAATTTAATTACTTTTATTATACATTAATTTCAAATATTAATCAAATCAGTAAATTATAAGTAGATTAAAAATTGCGCTAAAAATATAAAAAATATTGAACGCACATTTATGATTTTTATTTTAAAAAATATATTGCTTTTGGAAAACACTGTTTATTTTTAATTACACATTTTTTAAAGTTACTCTTCATATATACATCAATTTCTAAAGTCAGTAAATTACAAATTGTTAAAGTTTATCATTTTTGTTTCGGAAAAACTATTGGACCCAAAATTCATGCTTTTCTTTATAAAAATTATTGATTTTGGAATACACTGTTCATTTTCAATAACACATTTTTTTTAAAATAACATCTGGTATACATTAATTTCAAATATTAAAGAAATAGTAAATTACAAATTGATAGAGTATTTAATTAACACTTAAGATTTCTGTTTGAATTACTAATCCGAATTTACTATATATTTTTTAATTTATGAGTTAGTAAATAAATATTAATATTTATATCGTTAGAAATTTTACTTTTAAAGAGTATCTTATAATTTTAATTACGCCTTTTTAAAATAACTACTCCTATTATACATTAATTCCAAATATGAAAGAATCTAGTAAACTATAAATTGATAAAAAAAAAAGTCAATAAATTTTGTTGTGTGGGAAAAATATTAAACGAATAATTTATGAACTACTAAACAGAATTTACTAAATTATTTTTTTTTGTTTATGAGTTAGTAAATTATTAATGTAAAATATAAATATTTGTATCGTGGAACATAAAATTCATGAGAATAATATGGAGAATTTAATGGCAGATAATTTTACGACGTCTTAAGTGCAACGATAATTATAGGACATAATATGTACACTTAAAGCAAGTAGAATGCACGCATATATATATATATATATATATATATATATATATATAATATCTGACAAAAACTACATAAGGCCCTACGCGCTATTAGGTCTGTTTACAGCATCTTTGTAATTTTATTTGCGACATTATTTTAACTAGAGCTTTCATCAATATCCTTTGTCTTTGTTTACACATTTTAAATCCTGTAGTGTCACTGATTTTGTTTTTCAACACTTATTTAAAATCTACTTTCTCTGTCAAAAATCACTCAGTAAACTCGTTATAGATGGTAATTTAAAATCGATGGTAAACCGTTTATTCTTTCCATCATACGCAATTTTCTCGGTTGATTCGTGTAAGATTGCAGAGGCATTGATGATGTATGGTGGTACCTGTGTGCGCGACACAGAGGAACTAGTGCTTCGTCTACCTTCGTCGAAGAATTTGGTTTAGCACATGTAACAACTTTAACAAGAATGGGACATACATATTCTTGAACAGGCGGTTCGATGAAGACAAGAACACTTAAGTGTAATACAAGAGTTGGGCCGAGAGGCGCGCGTCGATTGCCCCACGCCGTCGGAGATCGGACATCGCTGGCTGCGTTAACGATTAGTCGGGTGGCTGGACACAATTTTTTTTTCTGAAAGTTCTGATTTGCTAATTTTATGTACGAAGTTTCTAGTCATTCTGAATCGTCAGACCAGTTTGATAAACTGTACGTATCTTGCCCTTTCGCCATTTTCTCAAAAACGGCTAGACTAATTTCAAAAATTTGAGGACCATTCGATGTAACTCGATAAAGACTAGCGTTTATCAGTTTTATGTAACTACCGACAGAGCCGTTTCTACGTAATTAGCAGAAAAGTGTAAAATGTTTTCCACGCTGTAGATTTCATAGCCTAAAGTAATATACTGAAACAATAATAAGCGGTTGAATTATAAAAATGCATCAAAATTCGGAATTATGCCCCTGATCATAATCCGATCATATATACATTCCGTGTTTTGCAGGTACCTACTGATTACAGTTGACATCCACACTTCAATAAACTACATTTTTAGAACACGAAATAGATTAAATGAAATGTGCTGAACAAATTAATTGAATTTATACAATTACAAATATTATATGTATGTTTGAGAGACATCTATTGGAAAAAATGTATTGAAAATTTAAATCTATTAATCTCTTAAAAATACCTTCATTCAATGTTTTCTTTATTTTGACATATTTTGGAAATTCTGAACTTTTTTTCAAAGCAATCGTACTGCTTTAACTGCATAGAGACGAAATGTCAAAGCGCATAAGCGCCGCGTCGCCGTCTAACGGATAAACATTGGTACGGAACCCATAGAAATGTAAACAAAATTTATACTTATTGTTAAAATCTCTATAAAATATCTGGTAATTTGATAAGATCTCCGAAACCGCTAGACCTGCCTTCATAAAAATCAGTTTGATCAGTTCTTCATCTTGTCAATACAAGTAAAATGTTTTTTGATATCAAAATGGGACGCTCCGTTCTCTTAAAAAATGAGTTATCATTTTTGGCACTTTTTGCCCGGTATCTTCGGAACGGTTAAACCTGCCTTCGCCAAAAACTAATCAGCACGTCTCCTGATCAATACGAATCGAATATTTTTTGATTTATTCAAATCGCTCTATCCGTGTTCCCCAAATCGTCGACGAAAATTTGTATCCGAACACATATACATCTATTTTTTTAAGGTATGCCAAAATGTTTAAAAACCTCTGAAACGTAAAAATATATAAAAATTTTCATTTTCGTTTTTTTGCGATTACTATAACTTACTCTACAGGAAGTTGAATACAGCCATGATTTTGTATTTAAAACATAATTTTTATATTTAATTTTTATTCAGAAACTTCAGTATTTATCATCTAAATTAGGTGAAATTACTAATTTTTTTTTTATTTGGTATGAGTGCGGTATCTTGTTATAAAAGATTTGTCATTTTATGTCATGAGATAAATTGTTCATTAATGAATTGTTTAGTTGACATTTATTACAAGTAGAAAGTATAGAATATTGTATTAAACAGCAAACTATATTATTTTCTCCCAGATCTCATTCTAAATACTAGATTGTTAACATCAAACTACAAGTTTATCTCACTCAGCACTATACCTGAATTATTTACGCCTGGATTAAATATATATATATATATATATATATATATAACCAAGACCTACATTTTTCTTAATAAATATTAGACACGTTTATTTAAAAAAATGGCTTCAATAATACAAAATTCCTGAAGGAGCAAGACATCCCATATTTCCGAACGTAGAAATAATTAGAATTCAAAAACAATTGTTTTTAAAAAAGGGTTTTATATTCAGAAAAATAAAATCACAATATATTTTAGTTATAATAATTTTTATTTCAACCAATTAATTGATAAATTAAAATAAAAAAAATTGGGTTGAAACTGACACAGTTTTTATAAAAGGATAAGTCCATAAAATAGAGAACGCACAAAAGCCTAAAAAATAACTATTTTTTATTTTGGGGTTTTGCATAAGGTGTAAAGGTGGGAAACTTCACTGTATAAACAATTGAAGGTGTATCAAGTAGTGTTTATTACAAATTGCAAATACTGTGCAATTGTTTTGTGATTAGAAAATTGTTTGGAAAATGACATCTGTAAAATGGAGATGGACTGAAGATGTCACAATCAAGTTTCTGGAAATATACAAACAGTATACAACGTTATGGGACAAAAATTCACCGACTTACAGAAATAACCAAACACGTCACTTAGCAATGAAAGCCATAGTTCAACAGATGAATTTGCCCAATTTTGGTATACATGAGCTCAAAAAGAAGATACAAGCTTTAAGATCCACTTATAATCAAGAGTTGCGAAGATGCGAACTCAAAGCGCAATTAAATGGTTCTGAGCAACAGCCTACGCTCAAATGGTTTAGTATTATGAAAAGTATTTATACGAAAAATGAACAAGGATTTAGTAACGGAGGTTCGCAATTAAAACAAACACTGGAGGTAGATCAAGATGATTTGCCATTGTCATATTTTGTTGAAGCTAATAAGAAGGTGCGTTTTATTAAAAATTAGCAGTAATAACACTATCCTTAACTTATCTAGAAAGTGTACACGTTTATTTTTTCTCGACGTTTCAAATGATTTTGAATAATTTATTTTAGTCGCTTAACCCGAAACTGGAAAATTGTAATCAGGTTGTGAACAAAACACTTCTTACTTCGTCGACTACTAGTATGGAAAAGAAAAATAATAATTCACTACCACCTTTTGAAATGTCCACCTCAGGAACAAAGCAAGTGGATGATGAATGCTTAGCATTTGGAAGGTTGGTGGTACAAAAGATGTTGAAATATCCCGTCGCATTGCAAGTTTCTGTTCAACAAGATATTATGGACATTTTATTCAAAGCTGATCGAGGAGACTACAGCAGGAAGACAACTGTCAATAAAACTGCACCACAGACGAAGCAAAGTGAACTAGAAGAACATTTTCTTTATCAGCATTTGTCGAAGGAACCAGCAAAACCTTACTTTGGCTCATGTAAAGACGAGAATTGCATTTCATGTCATTAAGTACGCTTGTTTATATTTGACAAGTTTGAAATAAAATCCATATCGTTTATTTCACAGTAATTACATTTATTTTTAACATTATATTATTATCACAAATAATTTATTACAAGTTCTCAGAGATCTCTATTCTCTTGGTTTTTGCTGTCTTTTTTGGAATGGTGGTCGATAAATTTCTTGACAGCACTAAAGATATCTTCTGCTAGAAGAAGTGGTTCTTCCAATGCAGCAAAATGTCCGCCTCTTGGCATAATAGTGGACTGCAATAACGTTTTGTATTTTTCTGCCAATTGGAAGTCTGTTTTATAAGCTATCTCATGGGGAAATTTTGCACAAGCAGTCGGCACAATAGTTGGCACCCTGCAACAGGAATATAAAGACATTTAATTTAAAATCGCATTTTAATTTTAGCTTTTATAAAATTATTTAAATACCTATCCATGTTCAAACTCAAGTGATCCCACGAGTATGACTCTGCATAAATTCTCATCGAAGTTGTAATTGAACCAGTGACATAGTATATCATTACGTTGTCGAGAAGTTCCGTAAAAGTAAATTTTGATTGTAGATTTCCATCTTTAGCAGATCTCCAAGCTTTGTTAGTACCCGTTGAAAATTTTTCTAAAATATAAGCCGCCAATCCAGCTGGCGAATCTCTCAAAGCAACGCCTGAAAATGATTTAAAAAATGCTCTAAATTAGTTATATTTCATATTATTTTTTGTGGATATATTATTCACCAACTGTGTCAGGTTTTGTAGCTTGGATATGGAAATATCCTGATTCTTCCAAAAGGGTGAAGAAGTGTTCGCTCAAAGGATAGATTTTATGAACATTTTGTTTTCCAGCAAACCATTCTGGGAATAAACTGCCAACAAAGGACTTTATATTTGAAGATAGTGTATTTAAAAAGCATAAATTAGAATGGTGTCCAAGAACATTTTCTGGAAACAAAGTTGACATAGCGCTGACGATTCTAGAACCCCAATCGCCACCTTGTACGTAATACTTTTTGAATCCAATGCGATCCATCAAGTTGTGCATTATAACCGCAATTTGAGTAGCACCAAGACCAGGTTTAGCTGCAGCCTAAAACAAAAATAATAGTGAATAAATAAATTAATTTATAATTGACTACTGCAGTTCAATATCACCTGTGAAAACCCATAACCCGGAATACTAGGCAATATCAATTCGAATACAAAATTGTAATCTGTTCTCGGAGTCGTCAACATAGGAATAATCTTATAAAATTCCACGAATGACCCTGGCCAACCATGAACCATAATCATTGGCAGAACATGGATATTTTTGGAGACCTGTGGTTTTATGTGAACATAGTGAATATCCAGGCCTTGAATATTTGTTTTGAAGTGTGGATATTTATTCAATAATGCTTCACGTTCGCGCCAATTGTATTGAGTTCGCCAAAAGTCTACAAGTTTTTTCAGGGTATTTGTATTGAAACCATATTGGAAATCGATGCCCTCAAGAGGTGGAGTAAAGGACACATCACTTAGTTTCACTTTCAAGGTATTAAGGACCTAATAACAATCATGTCAAAATCTTTATATAGTTTTAACTTTATGTATTTTCATCATTTCTTACCTCATCGTTTATGGCAATTTTAAACGGCCTCATTGATGTATCAATTTTTTGTGATTTTCCAGTTCCCCACCATGTATCCAGAGGTATATTTGGCTTTGGAAATTCTTTAGTTATTTCGTAATACAACACACCTAAACCGATCACTATCGCAATCCATAATATTCGACAACAATTACTCATTGCAATTTAAGTTTGTAAAAGCTAAGATGATTTTTATAATATTTAAATTTATATGTTAAAATTCACTCTGATTTTAACTGATTTCATTAAACCTGTAGTTTTTTTTCTGTTATCATAAAAGTATTTTTTTTATTTATTTACCTCTAATACCTCTAGCATTAGCTGTTATATAATATTAAATGAGACTATTTTTTCAACTCATACAGACGACAAATTGATTAAAGTACATTGAAGGTGAAGAAACGATAAATTTATCGAATCACATCGGTTGGCATCGTAGTGATGACTATATGAAATCGACATATCTTTGTATAGGTACAAGATAAACAAACTACTTGAAAAGTTAAAATGAGTGAATCACGAATATTCTCATAATTACGTTGCTGTTTTTTCTAGTGCCTACAACGTTAACAAATCAGACCTTCAAATAATAAACTTTGATTTGTGAGGAAGAACATAAGGAAATCGAAGTGACTTTATTTTTTAATATTCAATTTATTTATTCGATCTATTTGCTACGATTTGCCGAGTCGTTTTCTTAGAATTAGCATAAAAGTAAAAAATATTTCGTCTACTTTTTCGTTAGTTGCAATAATGTCTAATATTTAAACCACTTGTGAAAACAACTTAGATATTTGGAAAATTTGTGCAAATTAAATAATCTCAGATTATAATACTCCTAAGTCTATAGCAACGCATTATACTATGCATTGCCCAGTATCTAAATTTATTTAAATTTCCAGCAAATAATTGTAAAATTTTTAAATACATAAATGTAACAAAAAATTGCAATTACGAATCAATGCAAATTCACGATTAAAGGTAGCGCCTCAAATAGTACAAGGTAAAAAAATATATTATTTTGTGACAGAAACAAAATATTCAGTATCATTTGACTAAAAATATTTTAGTAAACCAATTTAATATATTTTTCTAAAAATGTCATTATCAGACAGTGTGGAGAAAAGACTAAAAAAACAAAAATGCATAACATCGAATGGATTTAAGAAAAATAGTGAACCACAAGGAGATAAAACTGAGAAGCAAAAGATTATAAAATCCAGCGGACATCTCACGGATGATGAAATTGCTGCATGCAAGGAAGCATTTATACTATTTGATATGAATGCTGATGGCTATCTGGATCCGGAAGAATTTACGAAAGTTCTAAGATCATTGTCAAGAACTCCAAGCGACTCACAGGCATGTCTTATCTAGAAATTTCGCATTGTACGAAAACATCATGAATAAATTTTTAGGTAGAGAAAATGATGAAAGACGTCATTCATCGGAAGGATGGTAATGTGAACGGCATTCAATTGGACGACTTCATTGCTCAAATTGCCAGTATCTTACCAAATAGAGACAGTGAGGACAAAATTAGAGAAGCTTTCCAAATATTTGATAAAAAAGGCGATGGTCGTCTTTTGGAAGCGGAATTGAGGCAAAGCTTAACTACTGGTGGTGATTGCTTGACGGATGAAGAGGTTGATCAGTTAATCCAAGGTGGCAATGTTGATATCAATGGAATGGTAGAAATTGAATCATTGGTGAGACAGATTTGTGATATGCATCTTGGAATTGAAAATGTTGAGTGTAATGTAAAAGATGTATTGTCAGATGATGATGAAGATGATAGTGATTATTAATAAATAAATTCTTGTGTTCTAATTTAATCAAGTTTAATCTGAACATTAATAATTCTGACACGTCAAACTAGCAATAAATGCTAATATCTTACTTGTTTCTTAATTCGGTTCACTATACACCATTCTAATAAATGTTTGATAAACTAGCATTTTCCAATAACGTTTTTAGCGAGATTATAATCAATTTTGAGTAAAATTTAATACTTTACGAATACTGAGTAATCTTATTTGCAAATTATAAATATTCTAAGTCTGCTTATGAAGTGATAATAATAAATGAAATATGTTTTCATGATCCAGATTCGGCTAATAAAATACAAAATAATTATTTATATATATGTATGTATGTATAAAAATATATGTTGAACATGAATTGGTTAAATTTATCTCAAATATTATTAGCATAATAATATATCAACAACAAAATTATCACAAATCAGCTTTCTTTTGGCTTTCAGCTTTTTTGGAATAAAATTCTTTAAACTTTTTCACCGCAGTGAAAATGTCTTCTGCTAAAAGACCAGGTTCCTCAAATGCTGCAAAATGGCCACCACTTGGCATGTCATTGGACTGCAATAAAGTTTTATATTTCTCAGCAAGTTGGCAATCGGTCACATAAGCCAACTCGTTTGGAAATTTTGCGCAGGCTGCTGGGACATGATTGCGCACCCTAAATTATAAGCAAAAGAATTTAATAGAAATGCATTTCTATTATATACATGGGCATACTATGAGATATGTTACCTATCTAAGTTCAAAGCAAGGTGTGCTTTTGTGAATGATTCTGCATATAATCTCATTGAAGTAGTAATGGAATCAGTAACGTAGTATATCATGACATTGTCTAAAAGTTCAGGAATATTGTATTTTAACAGCAAGTTTCCATCTTTAACTGACCTCCAAGATCTGTTAGTCCATGTTGAAAATTTCTCCAAAATATAAGCTGCTAAACCAGCTGGTGAATCTCTTAAAGCAACGCCTATGAATGAAATTTATTTAATGTAACTAGATATATATTTAATGTAACTAGATATTTATTTAATGTAACTGACCCACTGTATCTGGTTTGGTAGCTTGTAGATGCAAATAACCCATTTCTTCCAAAAGTGTGAAAAAGTGTTCACTCATGGGATACATTTTATGCGCATTTCCCGTGCCAGCAAACGATTCCGGGAAAAAGCTTCCAATTATAGCCTTGATATTTGATGATGGAGTATTGACAAAACACATGTTTGAGTGCTGTCCCAGGACATTTTCTGGAAATAATGTTGACATCGCGCTTATGATCATAGAACCCCAGTCGCCTCCTTGTACATAATATTTTTTGAATCCAATGCGCTCCATCAAATTGCGCATTATAACGGCGACCTGAGTCGATCCAAGACCAGGTTTAGCTGCAGCCTGAAACAAATATTATGTGGAGCAAATCATTTTAAAATTTAAATCTGTAGATCAATTCTACCTGTGAAAAGCCGTATCCAGGAATACTAGGCAATATCAATTCGAATACGAAATTGTAACCTGCTCTTGGAGTTGTCAACATAGGTATGATCTTGTAGAATTCCACAAAAGATCCTGGCCAACCATGGATCATTACCAAAGGCAAAACTTCAATATTTTTAGAGACCTGTGGTTTTATGTGGACATAATGAATATCCAGGCCTTGAATATTTGTTTTGAAGTGTGGATATTTATTTAATAATGCTTCACGTTCACGCCAATTATATTGAGTTCGCCAAAAATCTACAATCTTTTTCAGGGAATCTGTATTGAAACCATATTCAAAATTGATGCCCTCTAAAGGTAAAGTATATTGAACATCATTGAGTTTTAGTTTCAGATTTTCAATCACCTAAAAAAAAAACAATTATGTTAAGTTTAATGTAAATTGTTGATCCTATTTACTACTTACTTTGTTATTAATATTAATTTTAAACGGTCTTATTGATATGTCAACATTTTGTGGCTTTCCTGGACCCCACCAAGTGTCGAGAGGTATATTTGGTTTTGGAAGTTCTTTCGTAATTTGGTAATACAACACTGCTATACCAGCTATTGCAGCAAAAATGAGCATACGACAACATTTACCCATTTTTCTGGAATGTAACAAGTAATTAATAAAGGGTTTTACACAATGCGCCATAACTTGGGAAATATTGGTTTATAACCATTGAATGTAAAAATTCTTTATTGCAAATAGAATTATATATATTAGTAAAATATTATGGTACTAAATGGTAATAAATAAATTTCTACATGGCACATATAAATATAAATATATATATATATATATATATATATATATATATATATATAATTAATTATTATATATATATATATATATATATATATATATACATTTTTCGGCTAGTTCTAAATCAAAACAAGATCGACTAATATAAGCGTGTATTTTATACAGAACAATTGTATAATTCATTCGGTGGCCTTGAGGTCGTGTTTTCAAGTTTATCAACAGAGCCAGCTGCTGCCATATCATGTAAGTTCGTCAAAAAATATATAAGAAATATAAATTCATGAATATATACACTCATAATTTAGTTCAGAAATTATTTTCACGAAAAAATCCGGTTTGCTAATTTTGTTTCCTCGACGTTTTAAGTCAATTTGAATCGTTTGCGACCAAATTTAGAAAAAGAATGTGTATGTGCAACGATTTTTGTATACGATTTTAATTGACTTCGTACGGCGATAAAGTTCCCGGTCCTCGTTAGTAGTAAAATATTAGAGGCCTATGTCAATAGTTCAATTAATGGAATGGAATGGAATAATCGGACGCGCTTTTGGAAAATACTTCATTGGTGTATATGTGCATATATTAGGAGCGTTTTCAATTTTGTTTTTTGTGTAATATTTAATCCATTTGCAGAAAATAACATTCAGAAAGATTTGTCTAAATTGAATAATCCGCAATAGTTTCTCCTATTATAATGCTACAGCAATTCGATTTGCTTGTAAATTATTTATAATTTAATATGTTGATTAATTGGATTATTTAAATGCCGAAAAGTTTATGCAACTTGTCTTTTACAATTAGTTGATAATAATTTTTTATGTAGTTAGTATATAACTTTCAACTATTGAATCATCACATATGAATGGAATTTTACATTTTCTTAATTATATCAAAGTCATGCCTTTGCCTAATATGAACTTTGTATTTCGATAATATATCTATAAAAATATGTATGTTATAATTATATATATATATATATATATATATATATATATATATAGATGTTTATTTATTTATTGATATTACCTGTATTATTTATCAAATTTAATTAAATATTATTAAAACCACAACGGATTAACACAAAGATTGTAGACATAATAAAACTGAACACTAAATACTTATACGTACTACGCCATTCGAATCATCTTTTGAACTCCAAACATTATTCATATCGCTCTTTCTTATGAACCCGTATTACACGTTTCCTTAATCAGATTGAAGCAACCTTTTTTTATTTAGCGCGATAAATATTATGTAATATAAAAGCGGAATATTTTTCAACTTTCCGAAGGAGAAAAATATATTTTTACGAAAAACTCGGCGTATTTGAATTTTATGTTTATTTCTTTTAATATTTTTGGCTTTTACGTTTCTTAGAAGATTTTTTTTCGAAAATCTACAAAGATATTATTTTTGATATTTATAAGCACCTTTGGTTTCTTTTAATGCTAACTATGTTACTATTATTATTGATTATTTTTAAAATCCATTAAATTAAAATTTAAATGCAATTGGTTTTAGACTAAAACATCTTGGTATTGATCAATACGAAAAGTAGCTTTGCTATTGAGATGGAGATATCAAAAACTTAAAATTCGTAATAGAAATATTACGAATATATTTGATTAATTCAGATAAAATACTTTTTTTTAACTATTGGAATAGCATACGTTTCGAGTCTAATAACAACGCCTAAGAAATGAGAAGCACGCATTAATATATACACATCGTTTTGAAACAAACAAAAATAACATATAAATGGAGGAAATAGAATGAATAAATAAAAAAATCTTCTAGGTACAGTTTTTGTAATCCAATACAACTATATAAAATTTCTTATTTTTAGAACAGAAGTTTAATATATTAGCATGAATTGCTTAACTTATTGGAAAATATAATTGGATTATAATTGAATACAGTAGTCATGAAAGGACATAACTATATTGTAATCGACCAAAAATCGAAATTGAATTATAAGGGGGTTCCTGGTCTAGATTTGTTAAGAAATTTTTGATTTTTAAAAATTCAAATTATTTTAGAGATTTAGCTGTTTGGCCACGACAATCCTTCTATTTCCTTCTATCGCGAATTTTTAAATGTGTTTTTCTCGAATACGATACCGATGCTTTGCCGATAGGATACCCACTATATCACAACGGGACCAATTTACTTGAAATTTGTTCAGAGTCTTCTGTAAATACTTCTTATTAATATGAACTACGCCGATCCCAAAATTGAGAATTTTGAATGCGACATCCTAGATTATCTATTTTGTTTCAGATGATTTGAAGGAATAAAATTACGCGTTCATCGCACGATAGAAATCAAATTTTTTGACTTTTTAATTTTATTTTTTTCTGTATTTATAAAACATTAATCAATAACTTGAAAAAAAATATAGTAAAATATTTACTTTTTTATAGCTTCTAAAAAATTGCATAAAATACATACGTGCAGACTAGAGAGAATACTTTCTTAAATATTATTCATGAATATTTTGGCAAACAGTTGGGCATAATTCTAAATAGTAATTTCTAAGTAGTTGTTGAATATATTTTCATCACAGCTCCGATTTTTACCTTTTTTTGTATTTTGATATTTAAAATCAGAACAATTTCAGAAGGCGTTATTTTTTCTTTGCTTAAACAAAATGTGTGTTATTTATACAAAGAAATAACTTTATAAGTGGTTTTGATTGAATAAAATTGTGTATACATTTTCGTGTCATCATAAATGAGTCAAAAAATATATAAGCTCTTTGTAAGTATTTTTTTTATTCTTTTAATTAACATCTAGGATTAAAATTATTTGAAAAAATCAAGTTAAAACCATGGATCTTTTTTTTTAAATCATTTTAATATCAAATTAAAACTATGGATTACTATGCACGTTTGTCTTTAAATACATTTGACTCAATTTGAAAATTATATTAAGTTGTTCGATTAATATAAATGATGTATTGTACAGTTTTATAAAATTAAATAATTTGTATTTTATTTAAACATATAAAGATTCCACAGCATCTCGTTCTACTCAAAAGTTGCAAAAATATACACCAGAATAACTGAATATATTTTTCACGCAAACTCTATTAATGCATCGGTTTGATGTATACCGAGTTGCTATTTGGCTATATCTTATTGTGTATCTATAGAATAAATTTTTGTTCCTATGACAGGTGCTTATAACTTATAAGAATGTCTTTGATGCAAGAATTTTGATTACACCAAAGTATGTTTGGTTCACTGTAAATACAATTTACTATTAAAATTTATTCCCTTTACCTAATTCCATATCTTATACATGTTATATAAATTCCTGTATTGCTTATTACATTTAATAAATTTAATTGACCATCTATTTATATATTATATTTGGGGAGTTTATAATTTAATATATTTTCATAATAATAACTCCCACAATGTTATACATTTTGAAAACTGAAAAGAGAGGAGAGGATGAAGGAGGTGGTGGAGAGGATAGTGATAAATAAATTTTTATATAAAAAAATTGTAGATTTTAATATATATATAGTAAAAACAAAGTGTATTGGATATGTGATAGATATAAATTTTTATATAAAAAATTGTAGATTTGAATATATACGGTTGCTCCGAAGATTGGTCCGACCCATGGACAGTATTTTAGTTTTGCATAACTTTCAAAGACACTTTGTTTTTTTTCGCCGTGTTATTCTTACATATAACCAAGCAAGGAATATCATAAAATTATTACTTGCTTGTTTATATGCAAAATACGCCTGATCGCACTGCAAATAGATGAAAATTTTCATAATTTTCAATACCAAGCACAAGCATAAAAGAGCGTTGCCATGACAACGCTATGTTATGAGCTGTGTTACGGTAGAATTGCCCCGTTTTAATGTGTGTCATCATTCAGTAAATTTTTGCATTTTTTTATAAACACATCATAACTAATGAATAATTAATAAAACGACAAAATTAAAGACGACATAATGTTCGAATTTGAAAACATATTGAAGTAGCAACGATGCAGAGCAATATCAAATTTTCTATATTAACCCCTTTTTTAATTCGACGATTGGGCTGCATAATTACTTAAAATATGTATCAAAGTCGATATATATAAAATTATTATAGTCTAAATTCTGTAAAATGTCTTCGATTTTTATTTCAACAGCATCGCCGGAAGTGAACGCAATCGATATTTTAGACAGGTTGCGCATATTGTCTCGATATATCTATGTTGTTTCATCTACGTGCTGTACACCCTGATGACAGGTGACAGGAGACCGGATGACATTTCACCGTACAATCGCAAGCGCAAGATTACTTGGTTGCAGCGCGTCATTGCGCGATCCATTTTAATCTCAGCCATCGCGGGAAGAAGATCTTGGGAAGCCAGTAGTCACTCCAGTAATAGGAAGCCAGTGGACACTCAAGTAGTACGTAAGTGCATTTGCCACATGTTAGTCGTTTTATTTTGCCATTGTACCCTGTCAAAGTGAAAGGTTGTATGCCCGAGTATATTAGTATTTTGCATTAGTCATTTTAAGTAATGGGTTTGAGAATTATTTGTGGATTCGAAGCTTATGCAGATGTTTACATGGTCTTTCCCAAGGGTGCTACAAATATCCATCCATAGATAAAAGAAAAGTATGTACCCATCACTGCATAATGACAGATTTTGATTGAGGTTAGCTTGGTGCGAATACAATTTTTTTTTAACGATCCTGGCTTGTGATAAAAATTTTGGCCCAAAAATAATTATGCAAATCAGGTTCGAGCATAATAATGTGATTCTATTGTGAAATTGTCAAAAATTCTTTAGAAAGATTCTGTAATGTCCTGTATTCAAAATATCAAAGAAGATTTAGGTATTTCATAATTATCATTCAAACATTTTAACATTTCTACAGCAGTTTGCTTTTTCAATTATAAAGGCTTCTGAATTTTTATATAATCCCTTTGATAAAAAAATCTGTTCAGGAATATGTTACATGTTACTATTGATGGTTGCTTCAATGAACCCAGATTTAAAGTTTCCTAGGCAAAATGCATTGAGGCTAAGTCATGTGAACATTGAAATAATTTTATTTCTCATAACAAGAATTACTGCAATAATTAGTCAAAGATACGTGCAATATTTAATTTCAGATAGACATACAAAGAGTAATCCAAACTTAGTGTTACCTTTTATATTTCAGCTGTGCTATAAAATAGAAGCTGTCGACAATAATCAATTGAATTATAAAAAATAAGTCTACTCTGGAATGAGTATCCCGTATTATCCTACTAGCTTGCTTGCTGCAGTAGACTTCTTAGCTTTATTAACTATCGGTAAGATTACAAAACAAGCATTTCTTATTTTGTAAGATACAAGTCCAATTATTTTTGTTTTGGGAAACCTAGAGTATAATTATGCTTTAATATACACTTATAAAATACTACAAGGACAAGATCAATACATAGCCTTTCTAGAAACATACTCTAAGCTCCCATCCTTAATTGTTAACTGATAATGCTTATAGTTCAAATAAAATATGTAAAACTAATCACATAATAATCATATCTCAAAATAATTAAATATTCAAAATATTTGTACAAGATTTATTATATAGGCTCTGTATTGATACTTTTTTCTTGATACAGGTTGCTGATGAACCACAATTAAGAAAGGCAACTCATAAGAGACGATATCTGCTGAAGGATCAAAAAGACTTTTCTGGAAACGCCTATTTATTAAACGGAATATGCCTAGAAACTTCAAGGTATGCAATTTATTTAATCATTTGCTTATTTATTCATCTTAATATTCTGATATTGTCATTAAGAATTTATTCATATTTTTTTCATTTTATTTAATTTTTTTTTTAAATATTTCACTTTCCATTACATTACAATAATGTGTAATAAATCTACTTGGAGTACTAATAAATCACTCATAAATTAATTTTAATCAAATATTTACACTACATCGCAAAGATCATGTAACATGTCTTAAAATACCGCTTACAAATAGTTCAATTTTTTCATTATTGACTTACTCATTCACAAGTTTTAATTATTTATTTATTTATGCATACAATTGATATTTTTACTTGTTGTTTATTTTTATTTTTTTACTTACCCATTTAATAATTTAATAACTTTCTGTAGTTTCTCTACGATTATTGTAATCGGCCAAAAATCGAAAATGAAAATTTTTGCATATCATCACGTTTCAAAAGTTTCTGAAAGTTTTGGCAAACCTTAGAAAAATTTGATGTGTATGTGTTTTGTTTGTGGATACAATTTTTCTTCTTATTTGAAAAAAATTGTACTTTTTGAGAGACCGAAGCTTTGGATTTTATTTTTGATTTCAAAATTTGGAGTCTTTTATAAAATACGAATAATGATAGTGACATTATTTAAAATAATCTATTTGAAAATGTTCAATATTACTTGGATATTTTATTACGTTATGGGAAGTTCTAGCAATTTGCCTTAAGGCACAACGTCATGAACCACTAGCTTGTTTCTAAACTTATGGATTTATACATTTATCTATTCTTCGCTTCAATTATTTTGTTTATTTATATACTTTTCATATCAATTATTCATTTATTTTTATTACTTATTTAGTTTATTCTTTTCAATTTTGCCATTTTTTCTATGAATTATTTATTTTTTTATTCATTTATCTGTTTATTTTTACTTTTATATATTTTTAATTTTAATTAAAAATTAAATAATAAAATTTGAATTTTAATTTTATTGATAATTGTCTAATCGGATCAATTGAAATTTTTTTGCGCACGATGTCATTTTTGCGCCGTGTCAAGTGGCTCCGCCGGCGACTTGATTGGTCCACGCGGTTGTCAACTCGTTCATTTGTGTGATGGGCAGCAACGCAGGAGGACCTCCAGGACAAAGGGAGAGGACCCAGGGAAGTACCCAATAGTAATAAGTGTGTTATGAAAACGAGTAAAATTGAACAAATCATTGTCGGGTTCTCATTCATTCATTCGCATTTGTATCTATTGTATTTTAATTTTGTGCAATTTCTTTTAACAATTGGTCACATTGACAGTAGATTGTGAACGGCATACGTAGTTTGGCGCGATCGTATCTATTTGACAAATACAACCTCTTGCTATATAATCAATTTTTTAAGTACTGCTTTGTTAGCATATTATGTAATGTCATGATTCAGATAATTATTTGCATGCTAATATAGTAGTTTGGGGTAGTAGAAAGTTATGTAGGTAGCATTCGTAGTTCTAGTTTTGACTGACACACTAACACAATAATCCACTATTAAACAAGAAAGTAATAAACTGAATCATTTGACATTATGTATTACTTAATCATATAATCATTAAACTATTGTCAATTATAAACAACTGCTGCCGTTTGCAATCAATATAGCATTGCGCCAATTTATTATTATTCTGATATGCATAAGTTCTTACATTGATGCATTAACTTTTTTTTTATCACTTTTAGGGCGTTACAAAAATTTGTCCATGATACAAAAATCAAGGAAAAAGTGTGAGCACTAAATGTTATCAATCCATGAAATAGTTTGAATCTGGGATTTATATATTTAATTTTAACCTGCAGATAACTTTACCTGCTTCAGTGTTATTTATCAAACATTTTAAAAAATGTATTCTAATCTCTTGTTTTTTTTTTGTTCCAGAATAAATTATCCGCTACTGAATCAACATTCCTCATCGCTTTTAATCCATCAAACAGTAAGAACTTATCAAGTATCTATCAAGCAGTCTGTATCCTTTATCAAACATTTTAAAAGACGTGTTCTAATCTTTCTTTTTTTTTTCCAGATTCAATTATCCACTTCTGAATCAACAGCCCTCATCGCCTTTAATGCATCAAACAGTAAGAACTTATCAAGTATCTATCAAGCAGTCTGTATCCTTTATCAAACATTTTAAAAGACGTGTTCTAATTTTTTGTTTTTTTTTATTTCAGATTCAATTATCCACTTATGAATCACCAGCCCTCATCACCTTTAATGAATCAAACAGTAAGAACTTATCAAGTATCTAGCAGGCAGTCTGTATCCTTTATCAAACATTTTAAAAGAGGTGTTCTAATTTTTTGTTTTTTTTTATTTCAGATTCAATTATCCACTTCTGAATCAACAGCCCTCATCGCCTTTAATGCATCAAACAGTAAGAACTTATCAACTATCTATCAGGCAGTCTGTATCCTTTATCAAACATTTTAAAAGACGTGTTCTAATTTTTTGTTTTTTTTATTTCAGATTCAATTATCCACTTATGAATCAACAGCCCTCATCACCTTTAATGAATCAAACAGTAAGAACTTATCAAGTATCTAGCAGGCAGTCTGTATCCTTTATCAAACATTTTAAAAGAGGTGTTCTAATTTTTTGTTTTTTTTATTTCAGATTCAATTATACACTTATCAATCAACAGCCCTCATCGCCTTTAATGCATCAAACAGTAAGAACTTATCAACTATCTATCAGGCAGTCTGTATCCTTTATCAAACATTTTCAAAGACGTGTTCTAATCTTTTTTTTTTTTTTTTATTTCAGATTCAATTCTCCTGCACCACTGAACCACCAGTCCTCATCGCCTTCAATCCATCAAACAGTAAGCACATATCAAGTATCTATCAGACAGGCAGTATGTATCCTTTATCAAACATTTTCAAAGACGTGTTCTAATCTTTTTTTTTTTTTGTTTATTTCAGATTCAATTCTCCTGCACCACTGAACCACCAGTCCTCATCGCCTTCAATCCATCAAACAGTAAGCACATATCAAGTATCTATCAGACAGGCAGTATGTATCCTTTATCAAACATTTTCAAAGACGTGTTCTAATCTTTTTTTTTTTTTGTTTATTTCAGATTCAATTCTCCTGCACCACTGAACCACCAGTCCTCATCGCCTTCAATCCATCAAACAGTAAGCACATATCAAGTATCTATCAGACAGGCAGTATGTATCCTTTATCAAACATTTTCAAAGACGTGTTCTAATCTTTTTTTTTTTTTTGTTTATTTCAGATTCAATTCTCCTGCACCACTGAACCACCAGTCCTCATCGCCTTCAATCCATCAAACAGTAAGCACATATCAAGTATCTATCAGACAGGCAGTATGTATCCTTTATCAAACATTTTCAAAGACGTGTTCTAATCTTTTTTTTTTTTTGTTTATTTCAGATTCAATTCTCCTGCACCACTGAACCACCAGTCCTCATCGCCTTCAATCCATCAAACAGTAAGCACATATCAAGTATCTATCAGACAGGCAGTATGTATCCTTTATCAAACATTTTCAAAGACGTGTTCTAATTTTTTTTTTTTTCAGATTCAATTATCCACTTCTGAATCAATCGACTCTAATCAGACTGTAAGCGCTCATGAACGATCAGTCGACAATCAACTGCTTGGGTTTTGGAACACTAATTCTTATAAATTTGCACAAGTGGTTCTTTTTGTAACTGTGTTTAGTCTTATGCATGTTCTTACCAGTAGGCTTACTAACTCATTAACAATACTAACACATTAATAATGTAGTTTGATCAGTTACAATAAAAACCACTTGTTGCAGTTTACTTAGGAAGACTTAGCGAAACGGCTCAGAAGAAAACACTTGGTGAGTTACATTTTTATAATGTATTATAGTAGTCTGACTTATAACTAATTAAATGCTTTTGTTCACAGGGTAAGCAATGGTCTCTTCAGGATTGCCCTCAACTTACACACGTGCCTGCATTGGACTTATCTTGCTGTCGGAAACATTAACTCAATGGTGTTCCTAGAGAAGATACATGCTGCATTCAATCAAGGGTTATGATTTGGATACTTATAATATATTCATCTAATTATTAAATAAATACATTGTTTTATTAGTTCAAATTGTTGTTTGAATTTTCATTAATGCTTATAATATGTTACTTATAATATGTTACTTAAATTATATAAATATTTTGAATTATTTTGATGTTATAGGTGTAATAGAAGAATGTCATCCGTCAGTTGTGATAAATCAAGACAAAGTAAACTGATTGGCTCCATTGTGAAGATTGCGGATACAGCAGTTTAGACATTAAAACATTCGTTGGGCAAAGAAATATAAGTATTAAAATATTTTTATACTTGATATATATACTTAAGAATTATGTTAAATAATTTGTTTTATAGGCTTATTTGACGAAACTTTAGGCGGTCTTCTGAATGGTTTGCACTCTGGTCTCACTTTACTCGAACGTCTTGGATTTTGGTCTCATCTTGCTCGAATAGCCTGCGGCCTGGTCTTGTACTTGTAAGCCCCATGGTCTTGTACTTGTAAGCCCCATGGTCTTGTACTTGTTATCCCCATGGTCTTGTACTTGTTATCCCCATGGTCTTGTACTTGTTATCCCCATGGTCTTGTACTTGTTGTCCCCATGGTCTTGTACTTGTTGTCCCCATGGTCTTGTACTTGTTGTCCCCATGGTCTTGTACTTTTTAACCCCATGGTCTTGTACTTGTTATCCCCATGGTCTTGTACTTGTTAACCCCATGGTCTTGTACTTGTTAACCCCATGGTCTTGTACTTGTTAACCCCATGGTCTTGTACTTGTAAGCCCCATGGTCTTGTACTTGTTGTCCCCATGGTCTTGTACTTGTTATCCCCATGGTCTTGTACTTGTTATCCCCATGGTCTTGTACTTGTTATCCCCATGGTCTTGTACTTTTTAACCCCATGGTCTTGTACTTGTTATCCCCATGGTCTTGTACTTGTAAGCCCCTGCATTTTCCCTCCTATGGTTTCTCGCCCCTTGATTTGTATGTATTCATGTAAATTGTTAACTAATGTTTTGTTCAAATAGTTTTATATTTAGTTTATAGTATTTTAATTATTGTACAATATTGTTTTATTACAATATTAATAAATATTTCTTACAGGTTGTATCGAATTGCTAATTTGACTAGTACTGCTGATCGTGCTGTCCCAAAACACTTGTCAAGATTCTACTATGTGTTGCATTGAGAAGCCAATGCCAAGAACCTAAATGTTTGTAATACATTTATCTAAATATTGAATACAATTATTGTTAACCCTTTAAATTTGTTGTTTTATTTGTACCATTAATGTTTTCTTTCATTGTGAGTCTTTAGGCGCTCCATCATTTGCTAAAGATACAAACATATTAACTCACTTGCTCATGTAATTTTTTTTTTATTCACCACTCACTGAATTACATAAATATTTATGTCCTTGCATTTTATAGGTAATATGGGAGAAATTCATTTATCAATTGTGAGGAATTAAGACCAGAGTGAAGTGACCGGCAACCGATGAACCTCATTGTCATGTTTGGGCGTCTTAAACTTCTGGCCACTGATGACTTCGAGGTCTTTTGTTGTTATAAAAATCAAGACAAAGTGAAGTGAACAACCGATTGGCTTTACATATATATATATATATATATATATATATATTATTTATTTAAGAATTAGTTAATTTACAAATTTACAATTAAAATTAATTATTTAACATATTGACTCGTTTAATCGTGTAATTTTTTATACATTATTTACTAAACCATGGATTTTTACTCAATATAAACATGTCAAAAGCACACATTTTCCTTTCATTATTTAATGTCTAAGTCATGATTTGAATTTTTACATGTTTATATAATAGTAGTGATCATAATTAATAATAATAATAATGTTTATAATAGTAGCAATTGTAATTAATCTTTGTAATAAGTAAAAATTATTAATTATCAATGCTGTTCTATTGTAGTTATAGTAAGAGTATGTTATAATAATATAATTATTATTTGTAATGTAACGATCTAACTTATATATAATGCCATCAAATAAAATTATTTAACTTTATCTGTAAGTGTTTAATTTAATTTAATTTTTATCAATTTCAGTGATATTAAATTAGCAAGTATACACAAGTTTAATTATATATCAACTATTAACATTCGAGTCAATTTCAATTAAGCAATTTCAAAGTTCAGTTTAGAAATCCACGAATTGAGTAAAAAGCCATGGATATATATGCATGAGTTTTTAGCATAAAACATAAAAAGAAAAAATTTATGTTTTTGACAAGTTTAATTTGAGTGAAAATCCATGACTTTTTAAACAGTTCGAAGTGGAAAATATTAATATTTTAAAAGTTTAATTTGAAATTAGCTACTAATATGTTGAAATTATTGTATTATGATTTAATTGATATTTCATGTTTTTTATTAGCTATATACTTTAGTTAATATGAGCACTTTATTAGATTGTCTTTGCCATTTTACTTAGAATTATTTAATGGCTCAAAGACTAATTATTTATTTCAACAACTCTGTGACAAACGGATTAATTAATTAGTTCAATTTAATTAATAAGTATAACTAGTGTTAGTTAGTTTTACTTAACTAAGAAAAATATATTTTTTTATGTATTTTTTCAACTTTAATAAATATAAGCAATTTATTAATATAATTACTTTATTATTTTATTACTTCATTATAAAGGCTAAGATTGTGTTTGCAATTTTGCTCATAATTAAATTAATTATTTGCACAAAAACTTATTTCAACTGCTCTATTGCAATTAGATAAATTATAAGTAATAAATTAATAAGTATAACTAGTGTTAGTTAGTTTTACTTAACTAAGAAAAATATATTTTTTATGTATTTTTTCAACTTTAATAAATATAAGCAATTTATTAATTTAATTACTTTATTATTTTATTACTTCATTATAAAGGCTAAGATTGTGTTTGCAATTTTGCTCATAATTAAATTAATTATTTGCACAAAGACTTATTTCAACTGCTCTATTGCAATTAGATAAATTAATCAAATAATAATAATAAATAATATATATACCACGTATCAGTTCTACTTAACTTAGAAAAAATATTTCCTTAGATCTTACTATTTTTTTCTTTTCTTATATACCGTGTAACTTTAAGAAAAATGAGCACTTTAATTAATTTAGACTGCATAATAATTAGTTCATATTAATTAATACCTAATAACTTATATTAATTATTTTTGCTTTTTAACTTATAAAAAAAAATACATCTTAAAGACTTAGAATTTTTTCTTTATGTCTCTATTATCACTTTTTTTATTTAATTTAATATATTTATTATCTTATTTAAATCCCGCTAGTAAGGGATTTTTTTAACCCCCAGGTTCTGCGGTTACCTAACCATAGAACCCTGGTTTAAGGTAACCGGAGCCCTGAACGTCAGGTAACCGGAATTCGGTAAACCCTGACGCAAGGGGTCGGGATGGGATTAGCTACCCTACAATTTTACAATTAATTCGCTTACCTCGATTTTTTATTTTTTACCCTACCTGCGTCTCGAACCTGCTACCATATCCTTCCAATCTTCTATCCCATTCACTCCTCTTAGCCCGCTACTCCATGCTGATCACACCGAAACACCGCCGCAAACTGGCTTATGTAGACTCGATATAGATAAGCCAGAAAATAATTCAACCGGCGACGATTTAACAAGTCATAAGCACGAAAAAAAGCCGAGTTCGTCACCGGTTGTGTGGCGTAACGGTTAGCGTGATGGCTTTGTACCGCAAAGGTAACGAGTTCGATCCCAGGATCGGACGGGAAAAAAGCTCGTCGTGTTGGCCGGTATACTATGCAAGCGTGCCGGACGTTACGTTGACGTAATTAAGAAAAGCTCCGTGTAGGCGAAGGGGTGAATGAAGAAAACCTTCCCTGCCTCGGGCACCCTCCGTCAGGCATTGCGACCTGGCGGGGGGTGCCCTAGCGGATTTCTTCACTTTATTTACTTAACTAGACGGCGGGAGGTCGGGAGGCCTCCCCACGCGGGCGCGAAACCGGTCAATCAAGAACCAAGCCAGCCAGCCAGCCCCCGAATTCAACGCCACGCGCGCGCGCGCGTGTGCGTGCACGTGCACGTGCGTGTGCGTGTACGTGCGTGTGCGCGCGCGTATCTAGGGGTACAGTATATACATTCTTAAAAATGTACTAGTACGCGTTGCTACGCAACGCGTACTAGTACATTTTTAAGAATGACATTTTTAAATAAGTACGCGTTGCGTAGCAACGCGTACTTATTTAAAAATGTACTAGTACGCGTTGCTACGCAACGCGTACTAGTACATTTTTAAGAATGACATTCTTAAATAAGTACGCGTTGCGTAGCAACGCGTACTTAAGAATGTACAAGTACGCGTAGCAACGCGTACTAGTACATTTTTAAGAATGTATATACTGTACCCCTAGATACGCGCGCGCACACGCACACGCGCGTACGCGCGCGTGGCGTTGAATTCGGGGGCTGGCTGGCTGGCTTGGTTCTTGATTGACCGGTTTCGCGCCCGCGTGGGGAGGCCTCCCGACCTCCCGCCGTCTAGTTAAGTAAATAAAGTGAAGAAATCCGCTAGGGCACCCCCCGCCAGGTCGCAATGCCTGACGGAGGGTGCCCGAGGCAGGGAAGGTTTTCTTCATTCACCCCTTCGCCTACACGGAGCTTTTCTTAATTACGTCAACGTAACGTCCGGCACGCTTGCATAGTATACCGGCCAACACGACGAGCTTTTTTCCCGTCCGATCCTGGGATCGAACTCGTTACCTTTGCGGTACAAAGCCATCACGCTAACCGTTACGCCACACAACCGGTGACGAACTCGGCTTTTTTTAGTGCTTATGACTTGTTAAATCGTCGCCGGTTGAATTATTTTCTGGCTTATCTATATCGAGTCTACATAAGCCAGTTTGCGGCGGTGTTTCGGTGTGATCAGCATGGAGTAGCGGGCTAAGAGGAGTGAATGGGATAGAAGATTGGAAGGATATGGTAGCAGGTTCGAGACGCAGGTAGGGTAAAAAATAAAAAATCGAGGTAAGCGAATTAATTGTAAAATTGTAGGGGTAGCTAATCCCATCCCGACCCCTTGCGTCAGGGTTTACCGAATTCCGGTTACCTGACGTTCAGGGCTCCGGTTACCTTAAACCAGGGTTCTATGGTTAGGTAACCGCAGAACCTGGGGGTTAAAAAAATCCCTTATCTAGCGGGATTTAAATAAGATAATAAATATATTAAATTAAATAAAACAAGTGATAATAGACATAAAGAAAAAATTCTAAGTCTTTAAGATGTATTTTTTTTTTATAAGTTAAAAAGCAAAAATAATTAATATAAGTTATTAGGTATTAATTAATATGAACTAATTATTATGCAGTCTAAATTAATTAAAGTGCTCATTTTTCTTAAAGTTACACGGTATATAAGAAAAGAAAAAAATAGTAAGATCTAAGGAAATATTTTTTCTAAGTTAAGTAGAACTGATACGTGTTATATATATTATTTAAAATACACTGATTAATTTATCTAATTGCAATAGAGCAGTTGAAATAAGTCTTTGTGCAAATAATTAATTTAATTATGAGCAAAATTGCAAACACAATCTTAGCCTTTATAATGAAGTAATAAAATAATAAAGTCATTAAATTAATAAATTGCTTATATTCATTAAAGTTAAAAAAATACATAAAAAAATATATTGTCCTTAGTTAAGTAAAACTAACTAACACTAGTTATACTTATTAATTTATTACTTATAATTTATCTAATTGCAATAGAGCAGTTGAAATAAGTTTTTGTGCAAATAATTAATTTAATTATAAGCAAAATTGCAAACACAATCTTAGCCTTTATAATGAAGTAATAAAATAATAAAGTAATTAAATTAATAAATTGCTTATATTTATTAAAGTTGAAAAAATACATAAAAAATATATTTTTCTTAGTTAAGTAAAACTAACTAACACTAGTTATACTTATTAATTTATTACTTATAATTTATCTAATTGCAATAGAGCAGTTGAAATAAGTTTTTGTGCAAATAATTAATTTAATTATGAGCAAAATTGCAAACACAATCTTAGCCTTTATAATGAAGTAATAAAATAATAAAGTAATTATATTAATAAATTGCTTATATTTATTAAAGTTGAAAAAATACATAAAAAAATATATTTTTCTTAGTTAAGTAAAACTAACTAACACTAGTTATACTTATTAATTAAATTGAACTAATTAATTAATCCGTTTGTCACAGAGTTGTTGAAATAAATAATTAGTCTTTGAGCCATTAAATAATTCTAAGTAAAATGGCAAAGACAATCTAATAAAGTGCTCATATTAACTAAAGTATATAGCTAATAAAAAACATGAAATATCAATTAAATCATAATACAATAATTTCAACATATTAGTAGCTAATTTCAAATTAAACTTTTAAAATATTAATATTTTCCACTTCGAACTGTTTAAAAAGTCATGGATTTTCACTCAAATTAAACTTGTCAAAAACATAAATTTTTTCTTTTTATGTTTTATGCTAAAAACTCATGCATATATATCCATGGCTTTTTACTCAATTCGTGGATTTCTAAACTGAACTTTGAAATTGCTTAATTGAAATTGACTCGAATGTTAATAGTTGATATATAATTAAACTTGTGTATACTTGCTAATTTAATATCACTGAAATTGATAAAAATTAAATTAAATTAAACACTTACAGATAAAGTTAAATAATTTTATTTGATGGCATTATATATAAGTTAGATCGTTACATTACAAATAATAATTATATTATTATAACATACTCTTACTATAACTACAATAGAACAGCATTGATAATTAATAATTTTTACTTATTACAAAGATTAATTACAATTGCTACTATTATAAACATTATTATTATTATTAATTATGATCACTACTATTATATAAACATGTAAAAATTCAAATCATGACTTAGACATTAAATAATGAAAGGAAAATGTGTGCTTTTGACATGTTTATATTGAGTAAAAATCCATGGTTTAGTAAATAATGTATAAAAAATTACACGATTAAACGAGTCAATATGTTAAATAATTAATTTTAATTGTAAATTTGTAAATTAACTAATTCTTAAATAAATAATATATATATATATATATATATATATATATATATATATATATGTAAAGCCAATCGGTTGTTCACTTCACTTTGTCTTGATTTTTATAACAACAAAAGACCTCGAAGTCATCAGTGGCCAGAAGTTTAAGACGCCCAAACATGACAATGAGGTTCATCGGTTGCCGGTCACTTCACTCTGGTCTTAATTCCTCACAATTGATAAATGAATTTCTCCCATATTACCTATAAAATGCAAGGACATAAATATTTATGTAATTCAGTGAGTGGTGAATAAAAAAAAAATTACATGAGCAAGTGAGTTAATATGTTTGTATCTTTAGCAAATGATGGAGCGCCTAAAGACTCACAATGAAAGAAAACATTAATGGTACAAATAAAACAACAAATTTAAAGGGTTAACAATAATTGTATTCAATATTTAGATAAATGTATTACAAACATTTAGGTTCTTGGCATTGGCTTCTCAATGCAACACATAGTAGAATCTTGACAAGTGTTTTGGGACAGCACGATCAGCAGTACTAGTCAAATTAGCAATTCGATACAACCTGTAAGAAATATTTATTAATATTGTAATAAAACAATATTGTACAATAATTAAAATACTATAAACTAAATATAAAACTATTTGAACAAAACATTAGTTAACAATTTACATGAATACAAATCAAGGGGCGAGAAACCATAGGAGGGAAAATGCAGGGGCTTACAAGTACAAGACCATGGGGATAACAAGTACAAGACCATGGGGATAACAAGTACAAGACCATGGGGTTAAAAAGTACAAGACCATGGGGACAACAAGTACAAGACCATGGGGATAACAAGTACAAGACCATGGGGATAACAAGTACAAGACCATGGGGATAACAAGTACAAGACCATGGGGACAACAAGTACAAGACCATGGGGTTAAAAAGTACAAGACCATGGGGACAACAAGTACAAGACCATGGGGATAACAAGTACAAGACCATGGGGATAACAAGTACAAGACCATGGGGACAACAAGTACAAGACCATGGGGCTTACAAGTACAAGACCATGGGGTTAACAAGTACAAGACCATGGGGTTAACAAGTACAAGACCATGGGGTTAACAAGTACAAGACCATGGGGTTAACAAGTACAAGACCATGGGGATAACAAGTACAAGACCATGGGGTTAAAAAGTACAAGACCATGGGGACAGCAAGTACAAGACCATGGGGACAACAAGTACAAGACCATGGGGATAACAAGTACAAGACCATGGGGATAACAAGTACAAGACCATGGGGATAACAAGTACAAGACCATGGGGCTTACAAGTACAAGACCATGGGGCTTACAAGTACAAGACCATGGGGCTTACAAGTACAAGACCAGGCCGCAGGCTATTCGAGCAAGATGAGACCAAAATCCAAGACGTTCGAGTAAAGTGAGACCAGAGTGCAAACCATTCAGAAGACCGCCTAAAGTTTCGTCAAATAAGCCTATAAAACAAATTATTTATCATAATTCTTAAGTATATACATCAAGTATAAAAATATTTTAATACTTATATTTCTTTGCCCAATGAATGTTTTAATGTCTAAACTGCTGTATCCGCAATCTTCACAATGGAGCTAATCAGTTTACTTTGTCTTGATTTATCACAACTGACGGATGACATTCTTCTATTACACCTATGACATCAAAATAATTTAAAATATTTATATAATTTAAGTAACATATTATAAGTAACATATTATAAGCATTAATGAAAATTCAAACAACACTTTGAACTAATAAAACAATGTATTTATTTAATAATTAGATGAATATATTATAAGTATCCAAATCATAACCCTTGATTGAATGCAGCATGTATCTTCTCTAGGAACACCATTGAGTTAATGTTTCCGACAGCAAGATAAGTCCAATGCAGGCACGTGTGTAAGTTGAGGGCAATCCTGAAGAGACCATTGCTTACCCTGTGAACAAAAGCATTTAATTAGTTATAAGTCAGACTACTATAATACATTATAAAAATGTAACTCACCAAGTGTTTTCTTCTGAGCCGTTTCGCTAAGTCTTCCTAAGTAAACTGCAACAAGTGGTTTTTATTGTAACTGATCAAACTACATTATTAATGTGTTAGTATTGTTAATGAGTTAGTAAGCCTACTGGTAAGAACATGCATAAGACTAAACACAGTTACAAAAAGAACCACTTGTGCAAATTTATAAGAATTAGTGTTCCAAAACCCAAGCAGTTGATTGTCGACTGATCGTTCATGAGCGCTTACAGTCTGATTAGAGTCGATTGATTCAGAAGTGGATAATTGAATCTGAAAAAAAAAAAATTAGAACACGTCTTTGAAAATGTTTGATAAAGGATACATACTGCCTGTCTGATAGATACTTGATATGTGCTTACTGTTTGATGGATTGAAGGCGATGAGGACTGGTGGTTCAGTGGTGCAGGAGAATTGAATCTGAAATAAACAAAAAAAAAAAAAGATTAGAACACGTCTTTGAAAATGTTTGATAAAGGATACATACTGCCTGTCTGATAGATACTTGATATGTGCTTACTGTTTGATGGATTGAAGGCGATGAGGACTGGTGGTTCAGTGGTGCAGGAGAATTGAATCTGAAATAAACAAAAAAAAAAAAAGATTAGAACACGTCTTTGAAAATGTTTGATAAAGGATACATACTGCCTGTCTGATAGATACTTGATATGTGCTTACTGTTTGATGGATTGAAGGCGATGAGGACTGGTGGTTCAGTGGTGCAGGAGAATTGAATCTGAAATAAACAAAAAAAAAAAAGATTAGAACACGTCTTTGAAAATGTTTGATAAAGGATACATACTGCCTGTCTGATAGATACTTGATATGTGCTTACTGTTTGATGGATTGAAGGCGATGAGGACTGGTGGTTCAGTGGTGCAGGAGAATTGAATCTGAAATAAACAAAAAAAAAAAAAGATTAGAACACGTCTTTGAAAATGTTTGATAAAGGATACATACTGCCTGTCTGATAGATACTTGATATGTGCTTACTGTTTGATGGATTGAAGGCGATGAGGACTGGTGGTTCAGTGGTGCAGGAGAATTGAATCTGAAATAAACAAAAAAAAAAAAAGATTAGAACACGTCTTTGAAAATGTTTGATAAAGGATACATACTGCCTGTCTGATAGATACTTGATATGTGCTTACTGTTTGATGGATTGAAGGCGATGAGGACTGGTGGTTCAGTGGTGCAGGAGAATTGAATCTGAAATAAACAAAAAAAAAAAAGATTAGAACACGTCTTTGAAAATGTTTGATAAAGGATACATACTGCCTGTCTGATAGATACTTGATATGTGCTTACTGTTTGATGGATTGAAGGCGATGAGGACTGGTGGTTCAGTGGTGCAGGAGAATTGAATCTGAAATAAACAAAAAAAAAAAAAGATTAGAACACGTCTTTGAAAATGTTTGATAAAGGATACATACTGCCTGTCTGATAGATACTTGATATGTGCTTACTGTTTGATGGATTGAAGGCGATGAGGACTGGTGGTTCAGTGGTGCAGGAGAATTGAATCTGAAATAAAAAAAAAAAAAAAGATTAGAACACGTCTTTGAAAATGTTTGATAAAGGATACAGACTGCCTGATAGATAGTTGATAAGTTCTTACTGTTTGATGCATTAAAGGCGATGAGGGCTGTTGATTGATAAGTGTATAATTGAATCTGAAATAAAAAAAACAAAAAATTAGAACACCTCTTTTAAAATGTTTGATAAAGGATACAGACTGCCTGCTAGATACTTGATAAGTTCTTACTGTTTGATTCATTAAAGGTGATGAGGGCTGTTGATTCATAAGTGGATAATTGAATCTGAAATAAAAAAAACAAAAAATTAGAACACGTCTTTTAAAATGTTTGATAAAGGATACAGACTGCCTGATAGATAGTTGATAAGTTCTTACTGTTTGATGCATTAAAGGCGATGAGGGCTGTTGATTCAGAAGTGGATAATTGAATCTGAAATAAAAAAAACAAAAAATTAGAACACCTCTTTCAAAATGTTTGATAAAGGATACAGACTGTCTGCTAGATACTTGATAAGTTCTTACTGTTTGATTCATTAAAGGTGATGAGGGCTGGTGATTCATAAGTGGATAATTGAATCTGAAATAAAAAAAACAAAAAATTAGAACACGTCTTTTAAAATGTTTGATAAAGGATACAGACTGCTTGATAGATACTTGATAAGTTCTTACTGTTTGATGCATTAAAGGCGATGAGGGCTGTTGATTCAGAAGTGGATAATTGAATCTGGAAAAAAAAAACGAAAGATTAGAACACGTCTTTTAAAATGTTTGATAAAGGATACAGACTGCTTGATAGATACTTGATAAGTTCTTACTGTTTGATGGATTAAAAGCGATGAGGAATGTTGATTCAGTAGCGGATAATTTATTCTGGAACAAAAAAAAAAACAAGAGATTAGAATACATTTTTTAAAATGTTTGATAAATAACACTGAAGCAGGTAAAGTTATCTGCAGGTTAAAATTAAATATATAAATCCCAGATTCAAACTATTTCATGGATTGATAACATTTAGTGCCCACACTTTTTCCTTGATTTTTGTATCATGGACAAATTTTTGTAACGCCCTAAAAGTGATAAAAAAAAGTTAATGCGTCAATGTAAGAACTTATGCATATCAGAATAATAATAAATTGGCGCAATGCTATATTGATTGCAAACGGCAGCAGTTGTTTATAATTGACAATAGTTTAATGATTATATGATTAAGTAATACATAATGTCGAATGATTCAGTTTATTACTTTCTTGTTTAATAGTGGATTATTGTGTTAGTGTGTCAGTCAAAACTAGAACTACGAATGCTACCTACATAACTTTCTACTACCCCAAACTACTATATTAGCATGCAAATAATTATCTGAATCATGACATTACATAATATGCTAACAAAGCAGTACTTAAAAAATTGATTATATAGCAAGAGGTTGTATTTGTCAAATAGATACGATCGCGCCAAACTACGTATGCCGTTCACAATCTACTGTCAATGTGACCAATTGTTAAAAGAAATTGCACAAAATTAAAATACAATAGATACAAATGCGAATGAATGAATGAGAACCCGACAATGATTTGTTTAATTTTACTCGTTTTCATAACACACTTATTACTATTGGGTACTTCCCTGGGTCCTCTCCCTTTGTCCTGGAGGTCCTCCTGCGTTGCTGCCCATCACACAAATGAACGAGTTGACAACCGCGTGGACCAAGCAAGTCGCCGGCGGAGCCACTTGACACGGCGCAAAAATGACATCGTGCGCAAAAAATTTCAATTGATCCGATTAGACAATTATCAATAAAATTAAAATTTATTCCAATTTTATTATTTTATTTTTAATTAAAATTAAAAATATATAGAAGTAAAAATAAATAGATAAATGATCAAAAAAATAATTTATATGAAAAATCGCAAAATTGACAACAATAAACTAAATAAATAATAAAAATAAATAAATAATTGATATGGAAAGTATATAAAAAAACAAAAGAATTGAAACAAAGAATGGATAAATTTCAGAGACAAGCTAGTGGTTCATGACGTCGTGCCTTAAGGCAAATTGCTAGAACTTCCCATAACATAAAATATCCAAGTGAATATTAAAAATTTTCAAATAGATTATTTTAAATAATGTCACTTTCATTATTCGTATTTTATAGAAAACTCAAAACTTTGAAATCAAAAATAAAATCGAAAGTGTCGATCTCTCAAAAAGTACAATTTTTTTCATATAGGAAGAAAAATTGTATCCACAAACAAAACACATACGCATCTAATTTTTCTAAGGTTTGCCAAAACTTTCAGAAACTTTTGAAACGTGATATGCAAAAATTTTTGGAACCACAGAAAGTTCCTAAATTATTGAATGGGTAAGTAATAAAAATAAAAAATAAACAACAAGTAAAAAATATTATATGCATAAATAAATAAATTTAATATCTAAATAAGTAAACTCAAATGAGTAAGTGAATAATCAAAAAATTGAACTATTTGTAAGCTGTATTTTGCCGTAAGACTTTGCGATATAGTGTAAATAATTGACTTAATATATTAGCAACTGAATCTAATAGAAAGTAAGTTCACTAATCCGAAATGAACCGTGCACAATTACTTAAATGTCACTTTTGACGTTACACGCAACGACACTGTTAAACACAAAATGGAATCGTAAATCCGAACGCGTTATATAATTTGCACAAGTACAACTCACCAGAATAATCAGGTGCTCGTCTGGCAAAGGGTCCACCTTGCTATTCATGCTCCGATGTAACGTTTGCGCCCTGTAAATAATATGAAATTGTTTAAAAAATATCAGAAAAAATTGTGAATTCTCTGAAAATGTTTCATATTGTTTGAAAATAATGTAAGTTGTCTGAAATTGTTTCAAAATTATTTAATAAGGTAGTGAATTGTCAGAAAATGTTTAAAAATCATTTGATAAGATAGTAAGTTAACTGAAAATAATTAAAAAATAGTTTAGAAATAAATGAAAAATAGTTTGAAAATATTTAAAAATAGACAGAACATGCTTTGAATAATCTGAAAATGTTTTAAACTGTGAAAGGGTTGTAAGTTGTCTGAAAATATTGTAAATGGCCCGAAAATATAAATGCATAAAAATATTGTAAATATTTAATCTGAAAATCTTGTAATTTGTTAGAAATTGTTTAAAAACTATTTAAAAAGATAGTAAGTTAACTGAAATTAAAAATAGTTTGAAAACAAAAAATAGTTTAGAAAACAAAAAATATATTGAAAAAAATAGCTTGAAAATAATTAAATAGTTTGAAAATAATTAAAAAATAGTTTGAAAATAATGAAAAATTGTCAGAACATGCTGTAAATTGTCTGAAAATGTTATAAATAGCCCGAAAATATAAATGCATAAAAATATTGAAAATACTTATTCTAAAAATGTAAATAGTCTAAATATTGTCTTAAAATGTTTCAGATGCTAACTAAAATGCTTTGTAGATAAATAGTACGAAGTAAATATAGATGTACATTTTCCAAAACCCTTAATGCTATGAAAAGTTAAACTAAATATAAGTTCTCTATTTATACTATACTAGCTGACCCGGCAAACGTTGTTTTGCTAAGTAAGGTATATTCTAAACAATTTCTAGAGAATCAAAAATATTAATACTATAAGTGTATAAGGATGTGTTGTTTGAATGCTATATACAATGAGGTATTATAAAAACAATAAACCCCATTAGTTTGTCTATGTTTTGTCAATTCAATCAAACTGGAAGTTTTATACACTTTCTATAGAAATCATGGTATAATCCAATCCAAGTATTTTTTTGGTATTTCGACTTATTGATTACGTTTTAAGCTTTTCAGATTCTTTTGGATTCTGGTTTTTGTGTATAATTGTAAATAATACTACTGAGCTTATACAAATTTTTCAAAATTCTGCGAGGAGAGATAGAAAATAAATTAGATATATCTGCTTTGACCTGCTTTTTGAAAAGTTTCAAGTAACATACCTTGAATTAAATTAAATTTAATAAAAAGTATATACGTAGAGCAGGGTAAGGCTTAAAGGTCCAATTTGAGTTTGAGCAAATATAAATTTTATTATGAAAATGAAACCAACTTCATCACAACAAATGACACATTTCAAACGAACAATTAGCTGACTACGTTCAGTAAAACTACAGACTTCGTCATTTTAAAAATGTGCTTTTTTTTGCTGCCTTTCAAAAATTTGTTATCTAGACCTTTTTACCCTATAGGCGGGGTAACTTGGAACGGCCAGATGGCAAACAGGTTTAATGTCTTATTTTAATTTTAAAGGTATTTTACAAAATAATTACATTTTTAACTAATGCTAAAAAGCTACCAACAGAAGAAAATACTTTTACTATAGATTTTCAAAGATAACCGTTTATCTCCCAATATCAAAGTCATAGGAATCAAGGTTATAGCTGGTTATACATCTTTCTCCCTTCACTTTAAAATAATGTTGTTAAACAATGCTTCAGCTTTACTGGATTTTGACACTTTGGTCGTGAAACTTTTAACCCCGTACCTTCATATATTACTAACCATTCTTTGATAAATTCTGGGAAATTATAACTGGGAATAAGTTATTCGACAAAATGTACATGTAAATGTAAGTAATGCTCTTTTTCAGTCTTGGTCGCGGCATTATTATTAAACTTCACTTCACCTTATATATATATATATATATATATATATATATATATATATATATATATATATATATATATATATATATATATATATATATATAGTCTTGGTCGCTGCATTATTATTAAACTTCACTTCACCTTATATATATATATATATATATAGTATCATAGATTGAATAAACTACATGGATAGTTTATAAATAATTAATTCTGAATTAGAATGAAAAACGGGCTCTAAACTACCTCTCTGCCACCAATTACTGAGCCACAGCAACGCGTGGCCGAGCTAGCTAGTATTTTTTTATATATATATAAATATACTATCAATTAAACTGAAAATCGGGATAAAAAGTATCCTAAGTCCTTCTCCTGGCTCTAAACTACCTCCCTGCCAATTTTCATTTAAATCGGTTCAGCCGTTCGTGAGTTATAAGTGTTAGCACATAAAGCGATCCTCTTTTATATATATAGATTTCTATACTATTGAGGGGCATGTGTAATTCCAGCTCGAGAAGATTTAAATTAACTACTTCAAAAGTATCTGGCGGGAATAGAATTATTGCTAGAAAAATAGAACATAAAACCAGATGATATCAAATCATCAACGCACCACTTAATACTAGGTTTTTTCTTGTGACGAGAAGTCAAAAAATAAGTAGACTTTTTTTGTTTTTGTAGAAATCATAATATAAAGTGAATATAATAATGCATATAGATAGTAAACTAAATTGGGAAATGCACATAATAATGAAAAAAGGAATAGATTGATTTAAAACTGAAGGAACTGAACTGGCTCATAAGAAAAAAATCCAAATTCTCATTACAAAATAAGCTCCTTGATCATAATTGCAATATCGATACATGGGATAGAGCTATAGGGCAGTGCCAGCAACAGCAATATTCTTATAATTCAGAGAGCTCAAAACAAAATACTAAGAATGATGTGCAGCGCTCAATGGTTTGATCCAGAGGGACCTAAAAATTCGTAATAGAAATCATTAAAAACAGAAGCTTAATTTTTCAAGACATATTGGACGCATATGTCAATCCCTAAATGCAAACAGCCGAAAAACTTAAGAACCTGAAGGCAAAATGGTTCAGGGATCTACCATCCACAATATAATGTATTCTGTTTTGCACAGAAAGTGCAAATTTTAATTTAATTCAATTTCCTTTACTTTTTCTTTTTTATTTTTATTTTCAATACCCTCACTTTTAACTTATAGGTTATATTGTTGTTGACTGTTGAAACTAGTAGAAGGTTATATTGTTATATTGCTGCAGACTGTAGAAACCAAAATAAAAAAAAGATCTGAATTGGAAATCGATACGTCAAAATAAATAGCTCTTAAATCACAAGCAAAAGTCAGCACAAACCGATAAAACTCATTGTTAATAAGGACAACAATTTGGAAAAATCAACAATGGAAATTATCTGGTAGAATATAATAAAAATGTACACTAAATGCCTATTATTATACCTTTTAAATGTCACTCGATTAGCTGCTCGGGACTGCTAAGGGGGCTCCATTTTTCCATTTCTACACGCGTCGACAACTTGCATCAAGTTTGCACAAACCATATGTAACTTTGGAAATGACCAAATGCTAATTTTTCTTGCACAACTAACTAACTAAAGTACTCACTTCTTGAAGAGATTTTACTTTTTGGCCATGTGCTTCCAATGTAGTCCCAAAAGAGAAAGAACTCAAACGCCATTAATAAGTTCTGACAGATCGCTATGGATGCATATAAATATGTGCAACTTCAGACTTTTCGATCAATGAACAGTAGCGCCACAGAAAGCGCCAATTTTAAATTTGAATTTTGACTAAATATAGATACAAATTGTTATAAAATATAATTCGAAACACTAACTTTAATTCAAATTTGTAACGCATTGCAAATATAATAAGTATTATTCAATATTGTACAGATTTCAATATTTTATTTATATTAAACAAGTTGCAAAAAATATAAAAAAGAGTGCTCGTAAGGTTCACACAATTGAAGTAAAACCTTTTTGCTATTGTACGAGATGGCATTTGATTTAAGTTAAAAATAAATACATCATATAACAATTTTGAATGTTTATTAGTAATATAACACTCGTGATACACACATTTTTTAATTGCAGCCATTATACATATTTATATAATAATAAATTACAAATTATATAATAAAAAGTTTATAACTAAAATTATATGTGCATTTGTATCATCTCAAAAATTAGGCACTTGTTTTATCTAAGTTTAAATTGTTATTTTATGATTAATATCATATGTTTATAATGATTCCAATGATCTTAACAATATTAATAGATTAATTTAATTACTTCGAGTTACGATTTAAATCTAAATGTAGCTCTAGTATCTAACATTAAGTTGTATAAAAATTTTACAGTTCATAAAAAAATCTTTTAAAGATCATACAATAAATAGGTATAATAACTAAAACAAGTATTTAAACATTAATACCGCTTTGTACATAATTATAAAATTCTTGTTCAGATATTTCAGCTTCCTTATTTGTCTTTCATAGTCTTTGCAAGATGTGAACAGATTGTTTCGAATCGATTTTATCAATAGGTGTTTCTGCATATAAACATATAAACATATAAACTTCTCCATATACAGTTAAAGGTATTAAAAAAAAAGAAATGAAAACAAAAATTGTACATTTATTGACTTAAATTGACATCTAAAACCATAATAAATATTGATAAACCTTATTCCATAAATTTATAAAAGAAAATTAACATTTATATAAATATAAAGATTGTAGAATATAAACAAACGTGATTGAAATACAAAATGTTTAGTCGTTAATCATTTGTTCAATTTTATCAATAAAAAATAACATTCAAATTTATTTGTGATTTATATATATGACAAGTTGCTGCATAGCATTATAATGTGAGAAACTATTGCAAATTGTATAATTTGAACTAATTGTATTTTCGACAAATGACTTATATTTTAAATTATTGAGAAATGTAATTAAAAAAGCTACTTTCAGGAGTATATTTACTGACGATTTAATGAAGACCGAAGGATGTATAGGTTTTTTGTTCTGAATTATTTATCTTTTTTTAAAAAGAAATCAGAAATTTTTTGTTCTTGGCATTGTTTTTGATGTTTATCAATAGCTACTTCAAAACTTAGGTCATTTGTCAAGTTAAGATTTGTGTTTTGCATACATATGGTGCTTTTTACTTTTTTATGTGAAGCATTGTCAAAATTTTTGTTGCTTTGGGCACATTTTTCTAATTCCTGTAAACTCTCTAATAACGAAAATTCCAGAGGACGTTTTCCTTTTGCATTCAATTCATATGTTTTATCAATAGTGTTATTACTAATTTCATATGAAATTGCATCCTTGATTTCCTGATTCACTACTTCATTGTCACTAAAGAAAGAATGCTTTTTATAAGAAATTACTTCATTTTCTAATTTTATTATATTCTCTCCAGAATTTTTAATTGCTTCATATGAATAACCTTTCTCCTGTGAATATATAATGCATTATTTTTATCTTTCTTATATGAAGTAGAATTATTTATTTCACTAACATCTTTATGCTCTTTGTGGACTCCCATTAAGAATGTATACAATTCATCTGCATTTTTATTGGATGTGTGAAAAGCACAAAGATAATTCCAAAGCTCTCCTAAAAGAATTAGTAAAATTGTATATAAAACTAATTTTAAAAACAGTTCCCATAAACATAATTATCACAATATCTCACCTACAGTAACTTCATGGTCTTTTAAAAATTGCCACATTAGATATAACGTCTTGCATAATCTTTGATCTCCAAAAGTAAAGTAAGCAAAATTTCTTTTTACTATTCGAGCTACCATTATCTGTAGAAGTGCTTTTAAAGTGGCATCACCTCCAAATGCACCACAACCCCAATTACCAGTTGCAACTGGTTGTGGCTTATTTAAGTTTGTGCCATAAATAGGCCTAAAACCTACATATGCCTGTAATTCAGGTATATGCAACATTTCTCAATTTATAAAAAACATTATAGAAGACTACAAATATGTATTGACATACTTTATTTAATTCTCTTTCAATTAAATTTGGCATATATTGATGTGCACTATTTCTGAAATGCAGCGCATCTATGGCAACAATAGTACATTTACGTCTTCTGCTTAAATCACAAGCTGTTTTATCCTGGTAATCACCATCCCAAGAAAAAGTTCTACTATATCCTTTATACTTACTAAATCTCTCACAACCTGAAAGCAAAAAAATAAATAAAATTATTAAACATTTGTAAATAGATTTATAACTTTGCATTTGGGTTTAGGCAAATAATATTTTACCTGTTATTATAAGTGCTTCATTAGGCTTCAATTGCTCAGTAAAAAGTCTGCTTATTATAAGTTCAGGAGAAATTACAAATCTGATTTCTTCCTGCACACAACCACTTCCTAAAACTCCCCCACCTACGAATCTGGAAAAGATATTTAATTAATATAATAAAAACTTTAATATTATAACTGTATAGACTGTATAAATACTTTACTTAATGTAATATAGAAAATTTATATATAACTATTTTTCAGGTTTGTTAGCTCACTTATTGGCAAAATCTACTTGTAGCATATTAAGCCCGTCATCTTCAATTGTTCCTTCACTTGTTACATGGATTATCATATCGCCAATTTTTTCTTTGCGTTCATGCCAAATTGGTAAACCAGCAGCTGAGATATGTTGCCTTGTAAATGTTACTACATTTTTTGGTACTACGTCATATAAAGTGGAAGTTTAATTAGTATATTGAAATAAATTAAGGATGTTACAGAAAATTTCAGACCTTCACTACAAATTCTTCTGAAATAATGACAAATGCATTTTAATTTCTCAATTACATGTGTATTTGTTTTAGAGCCAGCTGCATATAATCTAAAAGAAAGGTATTTATGAAATACAATGAGTTATTAAATCATGCCTTCAGTTGGAACAAATAAAGCTGTAAGTACCTATTAAAATTTATATCAGGAAACATACTGTATTCAGATTCTTTCTTGCTAGAATTGCGATGAGGAAAAGTGCATAAAAATGCATTAGCTAACAAACTTGATATTTGTTGCTGGCTTAGAGATACGGAGTAATTTTTATTCTGTTTTAAATGTGGCAAACCGCACCTTACAAGTTTTGGTAAATTCAAAGCTAATTGAACTATAGAAGGTAGAGTATGTTGAAAAAAGTAATTAGTTTCTTCTTCTTCTAAAATCTATAAAAAAGTTTTGAATTACCAAGAACTGTATCATATAAAGACTAAAGCAATGTGCAATAAAAATGTTGAATAAATTAAAAATTAGTTTATCATAGAAAATATTATATACTGACCTCATCAAATAAAATTTGGAGAGATGTGAATTTCCATACATTTTTGTATTTGGGATTATATGCTAATATAGCTTGCTCCAGTTCTGCACAACAAGTAATTTCTTTACTAAGTGTCTGTTTAATTAATTCCCAGCGAGACTTTGAAATGGGAACACCTTCCACCTTAAAAGTCATACAAACTTTAGACAAAAACCAAATGTTATTACATATTTCTATAATATGTAGATTTATGACAATGAGCTGTACAAGTAAGTACACTATTGTACAAGTAAGTACAATATTGTAAATATTTAGAAAATTCAAACAATGATTTTAAAAAATACTACACACGCACTTTGGGAAGTCTACATTTTTAGAATTCAGGATGACTTTCAAATACCTTACATAGACAAAGGTATTAAACACAGAAATTGAGAATCATTCAAATAAGTTAGTAAGACCAGTTCTCAATGTTCCTGCTATAAGAAGACTCAAAAAAGATTGACTTACCTTAACCGTAATTATAAAATAGCAAACAAACATAGATATTTACCACGATTGTGTAAAAACTTTGTGACGAGAAGGGCATTTTAACATGATGCTTGTCCCAAAATTGTAATCCATTATGGGGTTCTGGAACATTGCTTTTTATAGGCACTGAGTAAAGAACAGTATGATTTGGCTTATTTTCTATTGGTAAACTTTCTGAAGTACAATTCTGCAGAACTTCGATGGGACATCCCATCGATGGGAGTTGCTCGATTGGAATATATTGACTGGACATTGTTTAACACAAATGCTATTGTTGTAATTAACAGGTAGTGCGTGTTATTGCGTACAGGACATTATGGTATAACACATATTCAATACTTAATAACAGATAAGAGATTTGTTTCGTTTAGGCATACAAAATTTTCTTGATAACATATTTTAAATATTGTAAACACGTTCAAATTAATATAACCCATGACAATTATAACCTTGCACAACCATGTTAAAATGTCAAATTGTGAAACTGTCAAATCGCCATTTTGCCAACTTTATTACAACACTGCAGTGAAGTTGGAACATGTGTGTCCGTTATAATTCAAAAAATATTTGATATAGTATTTGTTAATTTTTTTGAATATGAGTAATTAGTTTAAAAGCTTTATGTAATTTCTAAAATAATGCAAAGATAGCACAAGCCTTTACGTAATCAAGTGTAACTGCAGAAAAACTAAAAGACCTAAGTACCTATAAAAAAGGCAGAATCCAGAAATAGAAAGCCGAAACTTAGGCTTGGCATATATTATATATGCCTATATATATATATATATGCCTATATATATATATATATATATATATATTTATTTATTAATATATACATATAATTTTTTATCTTATCAAATAAATTATTAGTATGTTTATCTCAAATTTTATGATGATATTATCACATAAAACAACAAAATTATACTGTTTCTTTATTAAATTATATTTTTAATACAATTATATAATTTTTCTATGGAAAAATTGGCAAGATTATCTTTAACCACACATCATTGTTGTATATAAAATATACTCTTTAATATCATTAAATTATGGCAAATTCAAGAATGGTATTATGATAAATACAAATTTTAACACAATCACATACTATAGATACAAATTCAGGATCAATAATACTGAAACAAAGAATTTCACTTAAATGATGCCATTTTACTATTGCAATTAATTATAATGTTCTTGAATAAAGATTACTTATATTGGCACCAGACTTGCTGTTGTACTATACATTCATATTATATATACATACATACATACATACATATATATATATATATATATATACATATATATTATCTAAATCATAACTAAAAGTATATACAATTTCTTAAATGTAACTGTACAAGTATTATACCAAAATAGTTCAGAAGAGAACATTATTTGCTTCACGATTTGGCACTAGAAAAATCCAATATATATATATATATATATATATATATATATATATATATATATATATATATATATACATACATATATATATATATATATACATACATATATATATATATATATATATTTCTTTATTCACAGGCATCCATCCATTTATTAAGAAGAAAAATAAAGTTACGTTTAAAAAGCCTACCAACATTTCGAATATCTGTATGACTGTTCTTGTTTCTGTATATTAAAATTTGAAAAATTAGACAAAAAGCAATAACCATTTTGAGTTGTGTGCACCTAATAAACTTTACCACACTCATCTCAATATGATTGTTCGCCATATATGATTGTTAATACAATCCTTTTGTTAATTGTACGTGTGTTGTTTTAAATTATGTGTTTTATCTCCTAGTACTCAAAATGTTGATAGACTCATAATTTTTTAAACCTCTTCCTAATAACAGGATAGATATTTGTAATAAACTTTGTTGTAATTTTTTACTAAACTTCAATCCATGAATAGTTTACTGTTTCGAGTTTAGTAAACAGAATAAGCATATTGAACTGTTCTCAAACAATATTTTAGAATCTATGTAGTCTATAATTATCTTACAAACAAGCATTTACAAATTATATACTAAAAATTGTATTATACAGTAAATCTAATTAAAAATAATAATAAATTATTCACATTTAGAGTCCACGGCATTACATTTCTCTTGTAGTAATAAATAGATATCATTTCATTCATATATGATCATTATTCATAGTAAATTTCACTCACCATTGCACTATGCACAATTTAAAGTAGAATAAAAATTTAAATATTTTACATAATGTTATCACAAGTTTTTACAACGTTGCTCTATAATAATTATAAACTGTGTTTGCATAACACTCATTTCTTATCATCCATTTTATTTTTGTCTAAAGATGATGAAACCATTCCTCCTCCTGGATAGAGTTTGTCCAAATGTTTTAGAGACTCGTTGAGGAAATTCTGTAAGTATAATCACCATTATTAGATGAAATCTTAGAATACATTACTCAATTTTATGATTAAGTAATATAAATATTTTTTTAACCAATATAAAGTTTCATTTAATACTTTTTAATAATCTATTTCGTTTACCTGAATGGCAGTCAAAGCAGCGACTATGGCAGGTGATCCAAAACCATGTGAAATTAAAGAAAAATGTGTTAGGTGACGTTGAATAGATGGATCTAGAAGATGTTGAGGCCTTGTATTGCATAAAGGAGAACGATCTTGGTTCAGCAAATCCATAAGCTCTTTTGTGATCTAAATAAAACGCAATATTTAATGCAATTCTGTACCAACCAGGAAAAATATATAAACAAATATTTTTTTAAAAACAAACTTACAATTTTGGAATCAAGAAATAAGAAAATAAATCATATAAGACTGCAGGTAAAAATCTTACTGGAGAATAACGAACTACACATCACTTTTATTCATAAAGAATTATGATAGATTTTTTGTTAAGTACCTGTTTAGTATTAAGGAGTAGTTCTTTTCTTCTGTAAGAATCCTGAGGTTCATTATGCTGTCTTGACAAATATTCAGCAACTTGCCTTGCTGGAAACTCGGTTTCACAAACATATCCAAAATCACGTGCCAAATGAATAGCTTCACCTAAATAAAACCAACAAAATACTTAAATAATATACTTAATGACAATATATATTTATTTATGTATAATTATTCAATATGTTTTTCTCACCTTCGACTAGCGACGTAAGAAGTGTTACATTTGCAGCTTTTCGCCTTCCAGCAGGTAAATTTAGCCCAATCTTTTCCAACTTTTCTCGGAGCAGTCGTCCGCCGTTTTTACTTTTTGCTCTAAAAATAGAGGAATAATATGAAAAACTAATAAACAATATAGGTGTGAGTGGAATTTTGCCTGAATGAAAGTAGTATAATATATATATATATATATATATATATATATATATATATACATACATATATATAAATTTAGTATTAATGGGGTCTTTAAGAATTTATGTTTTTAAGATCTATTTTAATGGTGTTTGTGGATATAAAAAAAAAGTATCATGTTATCTTATTCTCGTTTTTCGTGAGAATCAATAATTTCTATAAATCTGGCAGTCCAGTAACCATTTATCATGTTTTGGATTAATTACTAATTAACAACGGATGTCAATATTTCAAGTTGATTTTGGACCACACAAGACGTCGTATTAAAATGCGGAAGTTTTCAAAGCACACTAATTTGTTCAAATAGAAAACAGACAAATGTATGAGAACCGCGATAGTTTATAAATATTTATTACAATTATTAAGTTCTTTAGATTTTTTTATTACCTTCGCAGTACTCCACCAAGAAGTGAGGCGTTCAAGCATTCCGGAGGAGATAGTCGCCTCTGAACTTCTCCGACTGTTACTTTATATTTTGATGTTGATGATAATAAGGACAATCTACCAGGTACTGAACAAAATACATCTCCTGGAGCACCTAGACCCAATCCTGATCCGTCTTTACCGCTTTTCATAGCTAGAAAAAAAATTAATTCAATATAGATAACTTCGAACTTAGATTTCAACTACGAAAGAATTTATTTTCAATTGATTTATGAAATATTCAAAAATATCTAAATTAAAATTAAATTCAACTCTAAATTTTCACCCTTCTTTCACAAATCTCTATTTCGTAGTTACCATTTTAGATTATTAATTCATTTAAATATGATCAGTTTCAGATTAGGTTTGAACTTGCAAAGACTATTAAGGGACATTTATATGTGGCGTGCTTTGCAGTGAGTAAACTAATGAAATTTTTTTGTCAGCTGATGTGTAATTATGTTACGTAGTTATAGAATTTATTAAAACTCTCCTTCGATAATTGAGGTTGTCGTAGAGTTATAATTTAACCCTTGTGGCTGTTGACTGTATTAAACACTGATTTGTTTGTATAGTATGTATTTGTTGGAGTTCTGATTACAATCACTGATTGTTACTAAGTTGTAATGAAAGAAGATATATTTATTGGTTATTTATTATACATGTTGTTTCGCGGACTTTACTTTTAGAAGTGAACAATTAGTTCAATTAAAACACTGGCTACACCCTCTACCAGAGGTAGCAACTTTTCCGGGTAAAGCTTAATGTCTTGAAGGTTGTCACCTTCATGGCCAATATAATAAAACGAAAATACGTCCGAACATGATGTTTTTTCTTTTGCAATCAGTTATTTTCATACTAAACATTGTATACTAGAAATATTTTTTATGGTAAAACAGCGTTTGCCGGGTCAGCTAGTATACATACATGCATATATATATATATATATATTTTTTTTTTCTGTAAAAACGATCGCATAAAAGTCAGCTCGACATCTGTTTATAAAACGCCCCTCTCGGCGGGGTCTATTGGCACATTACAATTGAAAATAAGCAGTCTGAAGGGATCGGAGGTCCTTATATATATTTTAATAGTGTTAATTTGACACCTAAAATGCGACTACACCGCGAATTGTACGAATTCTTTTGTAATAAATACTGTAGTGTATGTTTTTAGTACAATACGCTTTTGTTGTATGGAATAGTCGAAGCAGTTGTATTTTTATTAATTAGCCTGTGTAAAAAAAAACGAAAAATAAAATACTGAATTCAAAATTTTGTAGGTATTAATTTTAGGTGATATTTATTTTTCTAAATTTAGAATAAAAATTTACACAAACAATTAATTATGAACCACAGCATAGATTTAGATATTTCTATATTTATATTTTCCAACAAGTTTTATGCAAATCGTTGAATAAATATAGTGTCGTAAAAACATGATAATTAAGTGAGTGTAAATTAAGAATTAAAATTTATAGCAGGTTTTAGTTGTAGACACTTAATGAATTTATAAACGAATATAACGGTCGAACGAGAAGAAGTGTTTGTTTCATAAAAAAAGTCGTAACTTTGATTTTGTGTATAAACACATTTAATTTATTCGTAGAGTCAGCGTGGGAAAAGTGATTTTCAAACAGATTTCGATATTGACTAAAATAGTTTTATTGGGTAATGGAATTATTAATATTTAGTAATTTTAATAGAAATCATAGATTTCTTACACAACGTTGGGTAGATGAAATAATTATTTCAACTTCTGTTACTGCTGCTTGATATCAGACTGGCCGAGGCAAGTATCGCACTTGTAATCTATGATATGAAGTTTATATGCTCTAACTACTACGGTACCAGAAAGCTCAAATAAAATGAAAAATAGAGTATACTAATTTTCATATAGCGATTTGTATTCTTATTAAATAATAATAATATTAGAATCAAGCAGATTTATAATGATTACTGAATTTTATAATAATTACCCAAGATTAAGGCAAATCCAGATTGTAAATATTTTTTTCACGATTATTTTCATTGTTTACAATATAGCACATTTTTTCAAAATTGCAATTTTAATTTATATAAATATTAACAAAAAGACTTACTTTTCAAAATTGGCAGATCAGTCATAAACCCGTTATCATCCATCCCTGTATTCTGTAATTGAAAGAAAAAATAGTTATAAATTTCTCTTAAATATTTATATAAAATTTATAAAATAAAAAGAAAGTATATTTGCAATAAATTCACATCGGAAGCCATAATTTTAAATAATGCGGAAGTCCAATTAAAAATATATAAATGCTAATTAGAAGAATTCTCATAATAAAATGTAAGATTTGATAAAAAAAACTGTTTTTGATTTGGACTACGTCAGCAAACCTTAAGTTTCAACTGAAGCCATTTATGTGAAAAATCCGCAAATACTTATAGTTACCAATCTAATATATTCTAAAAATATTTCTTAACTTATTACAATAATATTTTGACTGAAAGATGTATTTATATTTATATTACCTGTCCATCATCAACGGCACTTTGTAAAGCCTGATGAAGAGTCAAAGGGTCATGTTCGTGTCTATGGGGTCCTCCTGTACCCCCAAGAGAAGCCCCATAATCTGTCCTTCTATCACCCGAATATGGAAAACCGTGCGTCAACTGGGTCTAAAATTTAAAAAATTTATTAAAATTAGTAACAAATAATCGTTACTCTATTATTACTTGGAATCTGTACTATATTTTCTATTACATCCTTAATATTATATTTAAAAAATATGTATGTTACCCCCTACATGCTACGCACATTTTAGACATAACGGTTTTGAATAGTGATCCTGATATATGGAGGGTTCTTATCCCTTAATATCGAAAGGAATTCGGCCCATTATGATTGGAATTCATATTGAACATTTGTTTGCATCAAATCACTACGTATATTGTATTAATGATACATTGAAATTTATTAAAAAAATAGCTAAATTCCAGCAATTACTTTAGTCTTGAGATATTTTTAGTTGATAATAAACAAAATGTGCTCTAATTTACTTTAAATGATTCACTGTCTAAACGACTACTAAATCGAAAGCATCCAAATATAAGTTTTATCCAAATGGGAACAAACCTTCGATGAATTCCAGACGAATTCCGGACCGTGGAATTTTTATAGAAACACAAATTCATTCAAGAAGTTTGGAATTCTTCACAAAGTTATTAATCGGAATAAACTTATCGACTCGTTTAGTAGTGTGACTAATCAATTACTGATGAATACAAATTATGTTCATAAATATATTAAAAGTTTATCAATGAATTCATTCATTTGAATTTCATCAATTCAACTCACCACATGTCCTTGTAGTTCTTGGTCTCTGTGAGACCTGTGAAGTCCTAATTGATCTTGGGGCCCCCTCAGACCAGCAAGTTGATTGTAATGGTGCAGAGGAGCATGGTGTAAAGACCCTAAGGGTTGACTGTATGGATCTGCACCGAGGTATTCTAGAGGCCCATGATTCTGGATAAAGATAATTGACACAAATTATTAAAAATTATACATATTATTATTAATAGGAATTGGATAAGATGGTAATAGATGATTGAAAAAAATAGTTTATCTTCTATATATATAAAAATAAGTCGGGTTTTCCTTCCTGACGAAATAACTCCAGAACGCACAAACCGATTTCGACAATTTTGCATTCGTTGGAAAGGTCTCGGGCTCCGCAAGTTTTATAGCTAAGAAAATTAGTTGTGCATGGCATCGTGTCTTAATGCAAGCTGCTGGAACTTCACGCACCGTAATTAAAAATTCGAGTAATGACATTAGTGAGAATTATCAGAATTATGCTTGGTTAAGTCAACGAGCAATTCTTGCCGCAAAGAATAATGATGTACAGGCACTGAAATTTACCATTCAATCAAAAATTGCTGGCGATTTGGTGACATACCAATGATTCCGACTGGTCTTCCGTTTGACTTCAAACGATTGCAATTTTCAGTTCGCCTTGCGTTCGCAATAACAAGTCGCAAGGCCAATCGCTTAGTGTTTGCGGGATAAATTTCAAATAGATTATTTAGAAAATCATTGTTTTTCACATGGGCAGTTAAACGTTGTCTGTTCACGAGTTGGAAAACCATCCGCTTTGTTTGTGTTAACGTCAGACCAAAAAACAAAAAATGTGGTTTGCCAATGAGCACTTCAATGAAACGGATAATTTGCGGATTCACTTTCATTTACTTAGAGAAGTTCAACTAAAAAACACTTCATTTTTGTAATCGAAATAAATTACTGTTGTATAATAAAATCAAATTTTTCCTTTTCAAATATAAAACAAACAAAAAATTTCTTCATCTTTCTCACGAAACCATCTGGTGGAGAAACGGAGTTCGTCGGGTTTACTAGTATATTATATATATATATATATATATATATATATACTGATTAATAATTTATATTTTTTACTATAGTATTTTCCTACCTGTTGTTGCGGCGGACTTTGAGCCGCGTGGTGAAATGGAGGCGGAAAGTAAGGCGGTTGAAAATCGCTCTGGGCAAGGGCGGCCTGATGCGCATGCATAGCAGCAGCTGGACCGCCGACTGAACCACCGTGTCCTCCGCCGTGATTGTGGCCACCGGCACGGCCGTTTCCGCCTCCGTTGTTACCGCCACCGTGACCGGCTCCTGTCCCTCCGCCCGGGTTGTGCGTCACGTAGCCTGGCGATCCACCGGTCAGGCCTGGTATCGAGCCGTGCCCGGTTAGCCGTTCCTGGAAGAAATAGAAAAGAAATAAAATTAAGTTAATTTTGAATGAGTTTTATTTAATTTTATTGCATCAGTACCACTACTACTTCTATAAGCTATACAAAATCAACATCCAATAATAGTTGAGTTGAATTAAGAGTAAAACTAGAAACAGATTAGATAGAACACGCGAAGATGAAAAGAAGAATGAAGAAATAAAGGAAGTGAAAATTTAATAGAATTAGAAGTTAGAGAATAAAACAGAATTAGGGAAAGAGAAGAATGAAGAAGTGACTAGGTGTAATACGAGGAAATAGATTAGAACAAATTGAGATAACTAAAAAGAAGAATGAAGAAATAAAGAAGAAGGAGTTGAATAGAATTAGGAGTTAGAAAATTAAAAGATAGAGAAAGAATAAAGAAGTGAAAAGAATTATTGAGGTAACTAAAAGGAAGAATGAAGGAATAAAGGAGAAGGAGTTGAATAGAATTAGAAGTTAGAAAATTGGAAGAGAGAGAAAGATTGAAGAAGTGAAAAGAATTATTGAGGTAACTAAAAGAAAAAATGAAGGAATAAAAAAGAAGGAGTTGAAAAGAATTAGGAGTTAAAAAATAAGAGAGAAAGAAAGAATAAAGAAGTAAAAAGAATTCGGAGTTATTAAGAAAATTGAAGAAATCAGCTGAAAAAACATTTGATAGTATAGAATTTAGATATAATGTGATGTGATATATAATAAAGATGGTATAAGAATGTAAAAGGTGCGAGTATGACTAAAATAATGTTCTAAAAAAATCAGGCATAAAAGAAACAAAGTTATACAAAATAAACAAATACTCAATATCAAAAAATCAAATATGTAACCATTTTTCGCTTATGATGTTGAGATAAAAATCAGGTTTACGCGACGCAGCATGTAATAGCTAGTAGTTATTTTGACGATACCCATCGAATTCTTTATTTTACAAGAAGATACTATTACATTATCTACACTATTATCATAATGCTCGATCGTAAAATTAAAGGAGTGTCATATGTAACTTTTAAACTTCAGTGTTATAAATGTTGACAACGTGTCAAACAAAACGCTTTCGAAATTTTTATCAATGAATAATTAGGAAATGGTTATTGTATTGCTGTGTATCTATGTGTATGTTAAAGTATTGTAGTTTGTGCATAAAATGAGGGAAGATTTGAAGCACGATACTTTGGAAGTTTAGCGAATATCGATTGGAATCATTACCGGAAGCCTCGAAATGCCATTACATATATAGTAGTAAAAGTTAGAGATGTATTCAAAGTGTGAAATAAATCGAGGGGAATAGAATCTTATAATTTGCAAAATTATTTTGAAAATGTGCCAAATTTGAAAATATAAAAAAATAATGATAATAGTAAAATTGTACAAAAACATGTATGTATTTCTTCTTATTTGCATAAGCGTGTACGCGTATTGGATTAGCAAAGACAGGACGAGTCAATTTGTATCGGTTGTTTTTCTTTTGCACAAAATGATTTTATTTTGTCACCAAGAGAGTTGCATTGCGACTACCTGTTCTTGAAGATCAACTTACTCGTTTACATCACACTTGTGTATATAGACATATACAGGTATATATTAGAAAAATCCACCTGACTCGACCAATTAAAGGATGTAAAAAACGATCAAAAGGCCTAAAAAAGACAAAGAATGAAAATCTTAAGTCACCTTTACTCAACATAGTAGAAAAATTTAAAATTGCCTGAATTATTTGCAAAGACCTCGTATCGTGTAACTAGTGGAGTGTATGGCATCGTGCCTTAAGGCAAATTGCTGGAACTTCCAGTACCGTAACGAAATGTTCGAGGAATATTGAATGTTTTCAAATAGATTATTATAAATATTGTAACATTGTCTAATATTTATAAGAATTATATAAACTGAATTGCAAAGTTGAAATTATTTGTTTGAAGTATATTAGAACTTAAGTCAAAATTACAATTAAAATCTGAATATTATATATATAAAAATCTGAAACATTTTTTTTTAAATTTATTTGCTTATTTTGTGTAAGAAATTTCCTTACTTTTGCTGACAAAGGGAGGGGGTAAATAATTGTAATAAATCTGCTTACGTAATACTTGAACGATCCCCTACGTTTGGAGTTCTATTATATAATAAAGAAACACACCATATATTGTTATAATAATCCTACTATTAATTCCTAATTAAAAATCTCGTAAAAGCTCAATAATTCATATTCGTATTCTACAAGAGACACGCGCCTCATACAAAGTCGATCGTCGCCTCGCCCGGAGCGATCTATAACAGAACGCAACAACTCCGGTACAACATCAAAGATCAGTTCCTTTGATAGGGTTAATACTCTTTGCCAGGGGCGTAATCAGGAACGAGAAAGGGCGATCGGGGCCCATCAACAACAGAACACAGCTGACAGATGAGTAACTCTCTACATATCAAACTCAGCATTATAAATGGTAATAAAGTATACTTTTGCAAATTGATAACTAATGATAATTATTATTATTTCAGATTCTGTCTAATGAATATATTAAAAAGAAATAAGTAACATTATTTTTTATTAATATCACAAGTTTTGCAAATGACAAAATCTAACACTCTTCAAGTTGCTAGCGTGTTCGATTCACACGACAGGGATCTTTGCTTTGAATCCTGTCATTGACTTAGAATTTATGAAAAAGAAAAAGTGTAATTAATTTGAAATTAAGTAAAAATTGTAATTGTTAAATAGAAATTGAATAAATATTAAGAAAAATAGGAATTACAGAATTCGAAAAGCTGAATTGTATTAGGAGTAAGAAGAAAAAGTATCAGAATTTGCTGAGATTAAAAAGAAGAATGAAGAAAAAATGGAATAAAGATAGAAGTTGAATAGAATTAGAAATTTGATAGAAAACAGCAAAAATTGAAGAAATTAAAAAGAAGAAGAATATAGAATAGAATATAATATAAAAATTGGTATAGAGTTTAAAAAAAATACTAATCTAAGGTTCTAGATTTAAAACTTAAATATAATTTTATCAGCACCTAAGCTGTAATCACTAAACTGTGATCAGTAGTTGAATGCACATCTCCAAATATACTTATACAGGGTGCCCCGAAATTAACGTCAAGCCGAAAGGGGTAATAATAGTTACATAGATTATTATAGTTAGGTTGACCCTAACAGTCCTGAAAAAATTAGGAACAAAAATATTTGGCATTGTTTGGAAATTATGAGCTTTTAAGTGCAATCTAGAGCTTCGGTGAATTTATGCCCATAATTCGGTTAACGTGGTTAATTTTTAATAATTTAAAGTCAAAATTACTATGGTATATTATTTCAGGCCATGATAAGATTATAACTTTGAAATTATAATTGTGTATTGTTATTTAAATACTATAAGATTTATTCATTATTAAATGAATGTAAGTAAAAGTGGATTCAATACATTGAATTTTTTATTAGATTTTTTTCATGATTTTTTTTTAATTTAGACTGTGCATTTTTTCAATACCTACATATAGTTATAAATTTTTTGATTATCTTTAATATTTATGTCCTTGGACAGTTGTAAATAAAAAGAATAAAAAAATTTTTTTTAATGTTTGTGGATAGTTGTAAATGTTATATAAATACAAAAAAAGACTTGTTTATCGAATTCAATCCAACAAGTTTCAGCATGTGGAAGAATAAATAGGTGTCAACACTGGAATTTCTTGCTGCTAATTTCTTGACAGGTTGTCAATACTTAGCATGTGCTCTCTCGGCCTTAAAAATAACGCAAAAAGCTGCCTGACACGGTTTTAATTGTTCATTGTAGCGAATATTACTGGACATCTTGAATTTCACCTTGCGATAAGTGATATTTTGAATATAAATGCTTTGAATATACACATAAAAATAATGTCAAGCAATTTTCCAAGAAACTTATAAGTACAAATTTTTGCTAATCAACTCAAAAAACTTCTTCCATAATAATGGTTATGTTTTTTTCTAGAGTTTTATTGTTACATACTATTGCATCAATTCTAAGTGTATGCATTTTTTTAATTTTAATTTCACCACTATCCACAAATAATTTTTTTTAAACGAGTTTTTGGTGCGATTTCGATGCATCTGTATATATTAATTATAAATTTACGTAATGTATTTTATAATTTATGCTATTATTAATTACTTCATTAACTTAATCTCAATTATTCATATTATGGATGCGCAAACTGAGAATAAAATTAATATTGAAGTGCTACAAAGAAAAACAAGATTAAAGCCAAATATCAAAGTATCGAAGTAGAAATCAAAATAAAAAATAAATCGATTAATTGATGTTATCTAATTAATTATAATTTAGATTAAAAAGAAACCTGAAAACTGGATAAAGACAAACTATTACTTATTATTAAACTGAATAATTTAAAAGACAAACTATTACTTATTATGTCTTTTTAGGTTTTTATTTTTTTACTCAAAATTTTTCAATAATCTAATTATCAAGTATTTTATCATTTCCTGGTAAATTGCGTCAGTTTTCAATGAAACTTGCCAACACATTTAAGTACATTTTTTTAAAGAAGGGCATCTCAAAATCCACCCATTTAAATATATATATTTATAGTTCAACAAAAAGGGTTAATTCTTCAAAACTTGAGGCAATTGTGTTATAATATTTACTATGATCATAAAAATGTTATTCACGGTTACAATTCCAAAGATTAAATGAACAAACTACATAAAAATTAACCACAATAACTAAAAAATAGTAATGATTTCACCAAAACTCTAGGTTGCCCTTGAAAGCTCATATTTTTTTCAGGACGGTTAAGGTCATCACCTCTTTTGGCTTGACGTTAAATTCTGGGACACCCTGTATACGTATATTTAGAGATATCCATTCAATTATTCATCAAAATTTGAACCATTTTTATTCATACTTCGTACGGTTCGAGACTCAAATTGACTCTTCTTCAGTCAAATGAATAATAAAAAAAATCAACATGAGTAAATAATATGTAAGATTTTTTA